TTCGCGGAAAAATGAAGAATGGTATATCGCGGGAGAGTTTACCTCAAATTTATCGTAAAACTTTCTCACAACTTTCTGTCCCGCCCCTCTTCTAACAGTTCTCGCTTGACGATAGAAAAAGAGAAAGAGAGATAGAGAGAGAGAGAGAGAGAGAGAGAGAGAGATGGGGGGGGGGAGAGAGAGCAAAGCGCGGGAAGTCGATGCGTGCGAGCTACGTGCCGCGAACTATGCGCAAATTGTGAAATTTCTCGGAAATTATCGGGCTCCAAAATTTTAAGCCACGCGTATCATGTGTTATCCGCGTGTTACCGCACGCCGGCGGCGAAGGGAAAGGAACGCAATCGAGCGAGATGAAGCGCGTGGCGGAATGCAAATCTCGATTAAACTACGTCGCGTCGAACGGCCCGTATTTTCGTCGCGCGCCGCGCTCGGCGCTCAAACGTGGGCTGTCTGATTCCCACGTCATGTTGACGTTGAATGGGATTTTCGTATTAGGCAAATCAAATTCAGAACGATCGGGCGACTGCGCGTTTAACGTTAAACGACGAGGAGCGAGGAAGAAAAAGAGAGAGAGAGAGAGAGAGAGAAAGAGAGAGAGAGAGAGAGAGAGAGAGAGAGAGAGAGAGAGAGAGAGAGAGAGAGAAAAGACTGCGAATTCTGCCGGGCGATAAGAAGAGAGAGGACGCGCGTCTGACAATAAAGAAAATAACACGCGACAAAGTAACCGCGATCTCCAACTTGGGACTATACTTATTACACACAGCCTACCTAGTTTACCTTCGCCGGCACTGGGTCACACACAACGCTCGCGTCTAGGATCGATAGACGGCGGGATTCTTTCGCATTACGTGCCGGTAATCGATTCGCCGGTCGTACGAACGACGGCATAGCCATAAAGACGGTCTAGCGGCGGCATACGATAACAGCCGAAGTCGATTATTGAAACTACAAATCGTGCGGATGCATAACGATGCTCCGCAATAACTGCCGCGAAGAGAGGTGCATTATTCGCACTTAGCTCGCGGGCCCGATGATTTTTATCGTTTCCTCGAGCGGTTACATTTCTTCCGCTCCCCTCCCTCCCTTCTCCCTCCGCGTCCGCGCGCGCGCGACCTCCTGCGCACAAAAGAGAGGAAGAACTGCAAGTTTTACACGGTGTCTTTCTTTCTCCCTTTTAGCAACAGCGCATTCAAACTCGCCGGCAAATAGCGACAAGTCGCTAAGAGACTCGGGATATTTACGCGAAATTATAGCGACAGTTCGCGGTAGCAGAGGACGAATGACTCTTACTCTTCTTCTTCTTCTTCTTCTTCTTCTTCTTCTTCTTGTTCTTGTTCTGCTACTACTACTCTATGGAGGTTCGTGATTTCGATTCAAGCGGTCGCTGTCTAATACCCGCGCAAAAAGCTACGAATCGTCCTCGAATTACGCGAGATTAATTTTAGACTTTCGTCGGAACCGTGAAAATCGAGTGGCGTTTAATTCTGTTGCAGCGGAATATATAACGGAATACGGTAACATTAAAATAAAAAAGAGAGAGAGAGAGAGAGAGAGAGAGAAAGAGAGGAAAATGAACCAGTTCTTATTTCCTCCAGCGTAATTTTTACGAGTTGCGAAAAATAATTATGATAATGAGTGGTAAGATGTATGCAAATGTATTTTCTACGGAGAACTTTGCAAGATTTTAGGACTTCGAAGAGACGCTTTAACCGCGCGGGGGAAATTACGAACTTTGGCATTAAAAATCTCCACAAAAACGCCTCAAAAAAAAAAAAGATATATATATATACACACATATATTTATGTACGCATCAGCAAATTAAAGTCTAAACCAGCAGGCGCGAAAACAGATAAAAATTGATTTCCTCCAATGACCCACATTCGCTTCTACATGCAAGTGTTTCGGAAATATGTTCGTCGGTCTCTCAGATCTTCCGAAACCACGAAACACGTTGCGCGTTCTCCAGCAAATTGTAGCGCATGCGGTAGCATACGCGCGTGTACACATACACACCACACACACACACACACACACACACACACGCGCGCGCGCGCATACATATGCGCGCGCGTGTGCATGACATTCTTTCTGCCAAAACTGCTAATTTATAAAAGTGGCCTTTATGCAGTAACGCACGCGTTGCCGTGATACGTGTGATTTGAGCGTAATTAACTGGCTGTCACAGAGATTAACAATAATAGAGACCGAAATCCAAATTCCTGCGTGGATGTGACTGCGGAATATATATAATCCGCGTGCTATCGCAGGCCGGCTTGAAATTAATTCCTACACGCGTGACACGCTTCGCCGCAAACGTTAATAAATCAAATGCTCTAGGCGTTTCAGAGAAGTATACACGAACGCGCGTCTCTGTCGCTCTTTTCATCCCGTTGTCCTGTAAATTCGCGCAACGACCGCGATAATGAGCCGATCCCTTTTACGTCACCGAGCGAACCTTCAACCTGGAGCTGAAATATTAATCTCACGCGCGTTCAACGCGCGCGATCGCGCGTCGTTCGCGCACACCGATCGATCGTGAATATAACGATAGAAAAGTTTAATTTCCCCGAGCTTTGTTTTCCTTTTGCATCTGCGTTTCGCCGCGGACTTGCTCGCATGTTGGCCGCGCGCGGCAGATTTACAGCGCGAGTTTCGAAACGGGTCTCGTCGGTGGTTTGCAGGTCACGCTTTTTTCCCCCCTTCCGCTTCCTCCCCTTTATTTTTAACTGCGATCTCCACGCGGATTTTGAATCAATCATGTTGTACGCGCTTGTCTCGTGTAGCAACAAACTTGCAGCAGCGGCGAGCCGCGCCGCGCTGCTATATTCCGGACCCCGCGGTGCAACCTGCCAGGAGGCACGCGAGGGAGAACCGCCAACTGAAACATCCTTCGTGCGTCGTGTTCGAAAGGGCCGCGGGCTCGAAACTCAAACTAGGTCCGTCGAAGGATCGGCGGAATTAACGAGCAGCGAGTCGCCGCGCCGCCCGTTTGCCGACCGGTTATACGCGCGAGATTCGCAAACAGGCGAAGGAAGGAAAAGGAGAAGAAAAAGGACGACGATGCTCGCGCGAACGCATTCAGATCTCTCGTCGTACGCTCGAGGATACAGGAGGATCTGGTGAAAATGCAGCGGGGGAAGAATAATAAAAAAAAAAAGAGAGAGAGAGAGAGAGATCGTTTCCGCTAACGATGTCGGCGGTAGATTCACCCGATGCGATCGCAAATGAGGGGTGTTCGAGGGGCGGCAGAAAAAGTTGTCGAATGACGATGTTTACGTCGCAGTCGACATCAACAATGCGCGGAATGCGCGACGGCCAAAGCAGCGCGCGAACGAGCGAACAAAATAAACAATTACATCAATAACCTGTATTTCAGCCGAGATCCAGTTACGTGAAAGTAAGAGTGCGGTCGCTCCGCGCGCGCGCGTGCTCGTTTCTCCGTGTATAACGACCAACGGGGATTGTAATTGCGTGTTTGCAACGTTGTAACGCGATCGCCGAAGAAGAGCCGAGAGTCTGCCGATCGATCGCGCGTATTCGCGCGCTCAAAATGCGATATCGAAGTTACGTAAGCGGAGCAACGGGCGCCTTCGCGGAGTCTCGCGGAAGGGAATGCGCTCGGCCCGAGAAATCGCGTATCGGCCGGCTTCGGGAATTCGCTCGGGAATCGAAATTATGCGTACACGCGTGATTCCGCCGACAAAGCGCGCGCACGTTGAGAGAGCGCAAAGCATGCGTAAACAGAGAGCGAATGTCTGAAAAATACGCGTTTAGGAGGTGTGCTAAACCTCGAAGAGAATCAGCTCTCTTTGTGTGTGTGTGTGTGTGTGTGTGTGTGTGTGTGTGTGTGTGTGTGTGTGTGTGTGTGTGTGTGTGTGTGTGTGTGTGTGTGTGTGTGTGTGTATGTGTGTGTGCGTGCGTGTCTTGACGTTATTTACGTTAGCGTTAACACTCTGCCGAGCTGCCCGTTTCCGCACATATTCCCTCGACATTGTGATTTTTTGTATCTTTGTATTTAAATCGACCAAGCGATTCGCGACTCTCGGATGACGCAAATAACCTATAAGCTTACTACTCACTTACCCTCTAAGGTGCGACCTTCAAAATCGAGCAGCCACGCAATCGAAGTAACGCGGATGCGTTTAAATCAATGGGGCGATTCGCATCGTCGCGCAGATAACCTATAACCTGCCCTTCAGCTTCACCCTCCGCGCACTCGGCGCACACGCGACGAATAATACGATCGCGAAATAATGCGCCGTGTATTTAAATCAATGACACGATTCACGCCGTCACACGTAAATAACCTGTAACGTGTCCTTCAAGTTCGCCCTTCCCAATTTAGCATGCACGTAGCGAACAGTACGTACCAAAATATTACGAATGAATCTCGCGATGAATCTAAAGCATGTCATCTTTATGCACTGTACGTTCGGTGTACTTACTGCACTTTGAATAAGAAAGCTCAAAATAATCCTGCTCCATAAAAGCTCGTGGCGTTCCAAGAGCCCGTTATGAAAATATCGCGAATTAGGCTTCCCGCTGACGCAACATGTATTCATCGCGTGTAATATGTAAATTCGTGTGAAACACCTTACGCGGCAATAATCCGAAGAAACCGGCTCCCTGATATTCGGAAGCTGAACGAGAGCCAACTTCAGAGCGAACGTTTCGTAACAATTTGCAACGACGAGGCGCCATTCTGCGGAGTTATATCCGCTGTTATTATTACCATTTAGCTTTTCTTTCGCCACTTTCGTCCGGCACCGAGCGTTGATACTGTGCGTACACGCAATATTACATTCAATTTCAATGTTTCCGAGCAACATCGGAGCGACGCGCGACGTACGAGCAAAGACAAAGACAAAGATACCTGTCGTCGCGTATTTGACTTCGACTAGCCGACAGGAAAAAAAAGAGCGGCTCGTACCGCGCGTCGTGCCGAAGGGCGAAAGGGACAAGCCAGACGCAGGATGTTAATGTGAAAGTTGCGACTTACCTCCTCGGCGAATTCGAAGTCCCCGTCGAACTTCCTCTTGCACTTCACCCCCGTAGCCAGGACCAGCAGCACAGTGGCCGCAAACACCCACGAGAATCGCATGGCTCCTGCTCCTCCGTCTGTCCTTTTACTCCCGAAACCGTCACTTACCACCGGAAGACGCGCGCGAGTACACCGGACGTAACGAAAAAAAAAAGAAGTCTTCGGGATGGAGGAAGGTGGTGGTGGTGGTGGTGGTGGTGGTGGTGGTGGTGGTGATGGTGGTAGTGGTGGTGTTGGCGGTGGTGACGATGGTGGTGCTGGTGGTGGTGGTGGTGGTGGTGGTGGAGGTGGAGGAGAAGGTAGGTGGTGGTAGTGGACGTAGCCGACGACAAACGCGCACGCAAAACTCAAACGCCGTAAACGCGACACTCGACACGGAGCGGAAGCGCGCAGCTCAATGGCCGAACAAGTTGTGACTGCGTGAAGTGAGGAGACGACGACGACGCCGCCGCCGCAGCCGCAGTTACACTACCGCAAGCGCGCGCGCTCTGATTGGCTGGATTCCGACGAACGACGGCACTCAGCACGGCGCGCACGGATTGGAGCGTCCGGCGGGAGTGGGGAGAGCAGTGCGCGCCAGCGGAGCACGCCGTGCGGAACACCGAAGCGAGTCGCTTTGCCGCTCGGCTGTTTTCGCCGTGATTCGTGTACTTGCTCGATCGAGTCCGACAGGGTAACGCAAGCTTCGAATTACCTAAGGCACGTCTAACATTGGATACGTTAAACTCTTTTAAGAAAATCCATTGATATGTTTTTACTATCATTATTTATCCCACATGCAATGTAATTCCAATTAGTCGGTTGTCATTTTTGCTCCTAGATATTATCCAATTATTAATCAGTAATTCGATAAGTATAATAGAAAGACGACACACGTTCACAATTACCGCACAAATTGCTTATTTTATTTTTATATTAAAGACTGCTCGACAGACGTCTCTGTATCTTGTAGATCGAAAGTCTATTTCTTTTTCTTTTTATCGATTTACTTTACGTTAATTAATGATTCGAGAACGAGCAGAGATAAAATGTTGCGGTTTGCATGAAAATTTATTCTAATTCTAAATTAAAAGCCGCTCATAGATATTTTCATACCATGCAGGTCGAAGAATCATTTTTATATCATTCTATCTTATCCTTAACTAGTAATTTAAAAATAAGTTCTAATAGAGAATTAATTTTGCAATTCATCTATTAAGTTTTTTTTGTTTTCATGAGTTTTACTAGTCAGTTAAATTTTTTTATTTGTAACCGAAACTCCTATATATCACTCTTTCACTTTTTCTTTAATTTTGACATTTTCATTTAAAGTCATTTGACTCCTCAATTATACGGGTTGTCAGGTAGCGGACTACAATAGCGGCATGGTTTTGAAAACTGCTGAGGACATTGAGAAATCTTTGCTGGTGGTATTGCTGGAGGTGGTAAAGAGTCAGGGCAACATGGTCCAGGTGTCACCGGACAACATCGGGGTGGAGGGACACAAGGTTGTCTTCGAGGTGAAGGTTCGCAAGAGAACTCCTCGATCCTCGGAGGCAATATTATACTACATGATGGTGGTGTCTGTGCTCTCGGACATTTGCTGTAATAAAACAATACTCTACCTTAAAATTACGTCAACCAATGTGCCAGGGGACGAAAAATTCCACATATAAAAATATACACTGTATCAGCTGTGACATTTTGTCGAAGTCTGAGGAAAGAAAATATTGTACGCACTACTTGTCAATGCAGCGTATCAAATGCTTCAACTCCTCCATGTCGCTCCGGCCGGGCAGCTTTCTGTTTGTGTTGCAAAACATAACGCCGCTTGTCCGTCGATATTTTGTACTTTAATGACAGTTTTACGTTAATTTACACGTTACAACACATCGAAGCCTCTCCGTGAACTCTCTGACGGATAATTTCGCCGGACAGAAAACTGTCGCGCGATGAAATTGCAGTTTAACGTAAAAAGAAAATCAGAGAAAATCGGTCGCAACGCGCGACTGTGAAACTTCATTTCAACATTCGTTCCGATACATCTTTGTTACAGACTTTACAGACCAAACGTTTTTAACCGCATTTACACGCTCGCAATGTATACTTTTTCACGATAATCGTGCACAGAATCGTCCAGACGATGACGTCGCCCGGTAATAGCAGCGCTTATCGCAGATTAATGTCGCAGATCGCCACGTTCCTGCCAGAGCGATTTCGTGCCGCGTTTCTGCATCCTGCGGGTAAGGTACCGTGATTTCGGTGTCACAATTATACATGCGAATCTTCCGAGAGAAGTGCAGACAAAGATCTTGATATTATCGAGATATTTGTGTGTTCCTGAATAATAAAAAAAAGGTAAGATTATTTTCGACCGTCTAAACACAACAGGCCCGACTACTGTATTTTTCTGGGCGCCGACGTTCAAATGGGGTCTAGTACTTGCGGGCATAGGTGATCTCAAACGACCTCCGGATACGATTTCTCTCAGTCAAACTGCGAGTTTGATGGTCTCAAGCGCAATATGGTCCAGGTGCAATACTGCTCTTGCTTCGAGTGAAAATCTCATGCTACCGCTAATTTTACAACTTGGTAAGACTCGCGCGATTTCAGGTACTCGCTGGTGATCACGCCTAAGAACTACAATCTGTTCAGCGTGAATTTGTTCGTCTGCGGCACAGGAATGTACAACTTCATCCGAGGAGCGAGATACCACATGATCGAAGACACATAAAACGTCGTGAACATCGTCAGATGGCGAGTCTCGCGATAACCGAGACCAATGTATTTTGTACAAACACCACGGTGGAATGTTTATTTTATAAAGCTACTTTACAGTCACGCTAACTATACGTATATCATCGTAAGGCTTGTCGGTTTTCGGATTCGTCTTTACTTGGCTGATATTTTGAACGACTTCCATACCCTTATGAACTCGGCCGAAAACGGTATGCTTATTGTCCAGCCATGGCTGAAAAAAAAAAATTAAAATATTCATGTATCACGCGTGCACTCTTACGCGTCTGTTTCTTGTAGTTGAACCGGGTTGCACTTTCCGCTTTCAAACGAGTATAAAACTGCGTGTTGAAGACAAAAAGGAACCAAGTCCCAGTGGTGGTACAACTACAAAGAACTTGTTCACTCATCATTTTCGTCGACTTACCGTCGGTGTCAATGTAATAAAAAACTGGCTACCATTCGTGTTCGCGCCCGCGTTGGCCATACTCAAAGTATACGGTCTGTCGTGTCTCAAGTTCGGCTTAAATTCGTCCTCGAACTCGCCTCCCCATATACTTTCGCCACCGGTACCGGTTCCAGTGGGATCGCCCGTTTGTATCATGAAACCTTTAATGACTCGATGGAATATGTGACCATTAAAGTAGCCGTTCTTCGCGTGCACGCAAAAGTTCTCAACCGTCTTAGGAACGTCCTTGCCGAAGAGATTCACGTGGATGTCGCCAAGCGCCGTGTGAATAATCGCAGTGTCGTATATTTTTTGCATGTTCGTGGTCTCAGTGGAAGATATAATATCTTCCTTCGACGGTTTCTCGTTGAAGACATCTCGGTCACATTCTTGGCTCTTTGTGTCTTCTGGTTCGCGTCTCGTGAACATGTAGAAACGATTCTTCTTGTGCGCCGTGCAAAACAACGTTGGATCCGGCCGGTTCATTTCCATCGTGGGATTTTCGGAAGCCTCCATCTCGACGGTCAACGCGGCCGTGGTCTTTCTGGCTTTTCCCTATATTCATTTTTATTCATTTATAATTCATTTAATTATTCATTTATAAATATCGATCAATGGTTCTCTCGGTGCTAAAATTACTAGAGAATTTCACCAAATACCTGGAACAATGCTAGTTGCATTGGTCGTATATTTTCTGGCTTCCCCATAATTTTAATACAACGGTTAGTATATAGATTCACCATTTTGATACCCAACATCGTCGAATACAAGATGATATAACCAGATTCGTCGAAAATGATATTTCCCAAGTTGACCTCGGTCTTGTCTAATTCCCTCTCGACCGCAAGCCTGCAATGCGTACAGCAAGGGAAGTTAATATGACGTTCATGATGTTGAAAGATACTCGATCTGATTTGACAAAAATATTATCCCATTAGAAGCACTATACCTGCGTCCAAACTCCATGTTTGGAAGTTGCAATACAGTTTTCTGCAACTCGGTAAACCTCTGGAGCGTCTCGTCAAACACTCTGTATAATTTGCCCGTTCGAAAATTAAAAACTCGGACTTTTCTGTCGCCGCTGAGCGATGCAAATCGTTTACCGTCAGGCGACACTGCTAAGCCGCACGGATAAGTTTTATTTTTAGCAAACTCGAATAAGTCGGTGTCCAGCTTGGATTCAAATGATATGCATTTGGGAAATTTGTACTCCGTTTTTGGACCTGTCCAATATTCCAATATGCCTGCTTTGTCAACAGAGATGCATGTTTCATAGGTGGGATTGTACTGTAAATAAATTATTGTATTAATTATCTTGCTTGAAGCAATAAGCTTCATTATATCATGCAATTAGTGTCTGACTTACTTTCATGATGATGACAGGTTTAGTGTGTAATTTTTCAATTACATGCAGAGGTATATTGGTACCCTGACCATCATAGATGTGTATTTTATTTGATTCTTGTGAGGAAACTGCCACAGCAGCAATTGCATCACCAGCTGAATATATCCACTCAGCACATAGTGGTACAAAGTCTAATTTTATCATATTTATCATATCTTAAACAGAAACACAATATGATGGTTAATTGAACTATCCTTATAAATACGCTAAGCCAAAAGTTACATTTGCTGTTTGGATACTCGAAAAAATCTATACTCACCAAAATTGATGACATCAAATATTTTCATAGTTTTGTCTATACTGACTGAACACATATGAACGCCATTGCAACTGGCAGATATTGATTGTATTGTCATTAAATGTGCCCGGAAATGTTTCACAAATTCTATCAGTTCCTCTTGTTTTTTCCAAAATTTGACATGTCCGTCGCAACTGGCAGTTATCACAAAGCCTGATCTGTATCAATATATTCTGTTGACAGCAACTTCTTCAGAAAAAAAGTTGTTATACATCAATGCATATTATTACTTACATAAGATACTAACTTTGTGACTAAAATATGAGTAATGACATCCCTGTGCATATAAGACTTTTCGTAGCATTCGCAGCATGGAAGATTATCTATGTACACCTGTTCATACTCTAGGACTGTGAAATTTAAGAAATATTGGCATACGTGAAAAATATGCAGATGCATGATATATAAACACACATAGATTCAATAATTTATTAACGAGAAATATAGAATGTAGAACATTATATATATATATAAATTTACCTCGTTGTTTTTTCTGTGGTGCAGCTTCTGATGGTAACGGTCCAATCCAATCATCTTCTGTGTCACTCGCTTCATGTTCCCGCTTCCTACTTGACATTATTATAATTTTATATTTTCAACTAATAATAAATTTAACCTCTATATTACTTCGTGTCAATCCTTATATATGCCGTCACGAACACAATGAGAGGTTATGATCTCTCTCACATGTTTCGCATACCCGCCGCCATGTTTATAAATCGTTCATGTAAACTACAACATTGATATGCACACATCTTTTTTAGTGGGTAACATTATACCTATTAAATCTAAATTATGTATAAAATATTATTTTTTTATCATATTAGATTATATTACAATAAAATTAAAATACATTGTCTGAATCTCAATTGCCATATTTTTTTATTTACCACCTTCTCTCGTTACATTTTTTAAATTTTAAAGTCAAAACTCAGAATGAAATCATTTTAAGTTTTGACTAAACCAAAATTAAATATAAATCTTAAGTCTTTTATGTAAATATTGATTTAAGAAATTCTGTCCTGTCTTCTACATGTGCTTTTGCTTTCCTGTTTCTTATTTCTGCATCGGTATCCCTTTGTTTAACTTCCGGTAATTTGAAAACTGTTGTTTCTCCTTTCTCACTCTTCTTACGTAATTTTTTACTCCTGTCTACATTATACGAGAAGAAATTGACTTCTCTCTTGGCTTGTGCAATCTCAGTTAAAACTCTTTGCTTATGAACTGCACGTTCATATGCTAAACGTTCACTCAGATGAATCCATTTGAACCTATATAAGGAAGAAATATATATGTTAGCTATATATAAATTTTAATTATATAAATACTAAGTAATATATGATATTTCATACTCACCTGTGTAAATATTTTATATTCCACATAACATCATAAAACTTGCTCTTTTTTCTTGTAGATATTTGTGTATTATTTAGTGTTGCTGCTACAAATTTGGCTACCTTTTTGCTTTCAAATTCCACCCAACCTTCGGTAAAGTATTTGATTGCCTTTTTCTGTTTCTTAAGTTTAACTGAATGTAATTCTAAAGAAAGATTTTGCAATGCATTAAAAATAACATACAACTGTATTTGCACTAATTTAAAATGAATAATTGTATCTTAACTAGATTAAAATAACTTTCATATAATTATTTTTAAGTCTTAATAAAAAAAATCCAAGACATACCATTTTTATTTAACTGTAAATATACTCTATCCACTTTCCCATATTCTGAAAATATTTCTCGAATCGTCGTAACATTCATAAATTTTGGAATTGTGGACAAATATATTATTCCTCTCTTAACCTTTTTGCCAGATTTCACTACTTTGTTTGTATTAATAGTTTTTTTCTTGGGTTGCATGCTTTCGTTCTCCATGTCACAATCGAAGGATTCGGTGTTATCGTCAATCTTTGTTTCCTCGTGATCCATTTCGATATTAAAATATTAAGTTTCCTGTTTATAATCAAAGCACACAACGACCACGTTTAGCAGAAATAGCTGTTTACTAAGCGTTTAGTTATTGGTTGCGTTCAGAAAACAAAGCGCTCACTGAGCGCTTAGTAACTATTGGTCCTTACTGTTAGATCCTTACATTCAGACCAATAACGTTGACGAATTACTCAACCGTTGTGTAACCGTTGTGTTTTCTGAACGCAGCCATTATTATCTACGATTGGAGTATTCTTTTAGATCTTTGACGGATCTAGAATAACGAACCAATCAACCAATGCATTTAGCAGACTCAACAGTTGAGACCAGATGAGACATCTGTTTTCAATAGATGGAACTTCGTCATAAATTTTCAACTGGATGGTTCATTTGCACCAGAGTCAATTGTTGCTATTTGATTATTACATAATTTATATAAAAGGTCTGCTCTTACACGGGGACAATATTATTATATAAATACCGTACCAATTAATTTGTAATAAATTTACGTCGACATTTTTCTGGTCTTACATCGTTGATATAAAATTTATTTTATATGTTATATACATACATAGATGAAAAAATTATCCACAATAAGATCTATAACTATATAAATAATACTGTAATTTATAAAATATGATCATTATATATATTTACACAGAAAGATTATACAAAGTCTCAACTCATACATTCATCACAGTCGTGAATACACCTAAACATAAGAGTGATAAATGGATAATAATAAATTAATGTTTTATCATCTCTGATGTACTATAGTTTAAAAATGCAATATATATGCAATCAATGAATATAACAATAGTGTTCACTTAAGAAACAAGTATCATTTATAAGATATAAATGTCCAATGCATTATCGATGAACTTTTCTGTGCAACTTGAGCGTGGGAAGTGTTCTGACTAAAGTAATGAAATGTGCAATCAGGTAGCCCAACAGTGCACCTATGACACAAGGAACTGGCCAAACTTGCCACGGACGGTCCCAATCCAAGGGGATCACAGTAGCACCTAGCCATGTGCCCAATATTGTCGCTTGTATGTTGATCCTTAGGGCATCTACAAGGATATTACCCTTTTGCGAATATGCTCCCATCAACACATCCAATGCGCTGTCCACACCTAAATGTAGACTGGTAGGTACAAATGTCAAAGTCAATAGAGTGATCACAAGCATAGTAGTTTCTTCATGATCGGTCAGCATGGGTGCGCCGAACAGCACGATCACAATATAGTAAATTATCGACAAAGCGAACGCGGCGAGTGAGAACTTGAAGACCTCTCTCAGATTTTTTGCCCAGGACTTCTTGGCTTTTGGCGAAGCCCGTTGTTCGATCTTGACTATAGTGGGTGCTTCTGTTTGCACCATGGGAAATAGCAGTTTTATCATCTCGGCGAACACGAGTATCAGCAGCACGGGCAAGAATTTGTACTTGCCAACATTGTACAGATTGTCGTTGAATTTTGCTAGTATCAAAATACCGGGGAAGTAGATGCACGTGAAGGAGCAGTAAGACAGCAGCAGTCTCTGCTCGGTCTTGCGTCCGACGTTCATCTCGACTAAGCGAATGTTATTTGTGCGATCGGTTCTTTATCTATCTATTTGACTATTTTACAATTTTTCTTCTCTTACGAGTGTGTGTCCTCACTGTGACACGATATTACGCTTCACGTTTATGACATACAGAAAAAGCAGAAGAGTCGAAGGCCTGACTCACATTGTCGTGTCCAAGTCCAACCATCGACGTATAGAATCTGTTCAATTCAGTTCGGTATATGGCTTTAGGTAGACGGGTGTAACCATAGATATAGGAATATAGAGATGGAGCGTGAACTCAGTACTTAGACAAGGGGGGTGAAGCCACTGAGGGAGGAGCGACGAGGTAAAGTGTGAGCATTTTTCATTGGATGAAATGATGCACAGGCGCAGTGGCGCTGAATACAACACATTCTAATGTATATTCTTACAAGGCCCGATTAACATACATTACATTATTTACATACCTTTAAATAATACAATCTTATTAAATATATGACTTTATAAACACATACCTACACACATTCAGGATTAAAAAAATTGCTTTTTAAAAATAATTCATTGCACCCAGATACCACAAATTATCCCTAATATTGTCTTAGACACACTTAAGATATCTTAGGATACTCCTAGGATATTTTAGAATATTCTTTACTCTTTACTTATGTTCGTCATTGGATATATTATGGTAGACGATTTTTTAATATCTTGTATTATCTAGGCTATTACCTATTAGGAAAGCTTACAATTATTTCTTGTAATAACAAATCTAATTTTATTTCTTATCTACACTGCTGTGTTTCACTTCCTATAACCTATTTACAATTTCTCTGTTTATATATGCTACACGCATGCGTACAATAACAACCAATGAAAAGTGCTCACACTTTTGGTCTGTTCTTTTCAGCTGCACTGCGGGACTAGTGCAATAAGTTAGAATGAGACAACTATATTTTTTCTCACTTTAACTTATTGCACCAGTTCAGTAGTGCAGCTAAAAAGAACAGACCATTTACCTCGTCACCCTCCCCGCAATGGCTTGCTTCAATCCCTACGAGCTTACGCTCCATCTCTATATTCCTATATCTATGATATTCCTATATCTATGGCCTCTCACTCTAAACGACTTCCCACCCCCCACCACTTCCATCAGCAGTCCATTCTATATGTCGATGTGTCAAACATGTACATTTGAGGTTATTTGTCCGGAGCCATATGGTCTGTTCCTTTTAGTTGCACTACTGAACTGGTGCAATAAGTTAAAGTGAGAAAAAATATAGTCGTCTTATTCTAACTTATAGCACTAGTTCCACAGTGCAGCTAAAAAGAACAGACTAATATATTGAACAGAACTGAACTGAATACTTGAGGTTGGCCCATCAGCTGACGCGAACGCCTGATCGGCCTGACGACTGCCTGTGACACGTAGAGTGTTGAGATTTTTATGTATTAAGAAGAGTTTGTAATTCACTAGCGAAGGAACATGAGTAAAAGCAAGCAAGCGCAACGAACTAAGAACAATGCACGGGTAAGCTTAAATAAATAATATGTGACTGCATGAAAGTAAATTATATATAAACGACGAATTTATCATATAACCTATATTCCTATCTTTTAAGCACTTGATTTTCACATATGTTTTCGTTTTCCAGCGTTATAGGAATAAATAATATGCGTACAGTGATATTTTCATTAATATCGTTTTACATCATATTGGCTCTGGGTCATACCTGCAACATTGTATCATGTTTTGATATATTTTAGCCATCAAATAGCAGTCGCAGTGCAGAACTCCTGGGGACTGCCATGCCCAATTTTGTTGGCTTCTCAGCAGTCAGAGATGGAGGATATGTCCCTACTCTGCCTGGTTTATCTTTGTGCAATTTGAATGAAGTAGAAATGAACAGCGTGGATCCTAGTTTCCAAGTAATACTTAAGAAGATGAATAAGAAATATGCCACCACAAAGATCAAGGTAATTATTTTGTTGATCTATTAGTTGAATAGAGTAAATTTTGTAAGTTAAACTAACAAAAAATATGTATGCACAGGCATTGCAAGAATTTGCGACTCTGTGTGAGAATGCTGAACTGTCAGCAGTGGAAGGCATGTTATCATTTTGGCCACGGCTGTATTGTGCTCTCGCTATTGACATAGATCACAGAGTGAGGGAGGCAACACAGTTGGCACATGCAGCAGTTGTCAAGCGTGTGGGCAAAAGTATAGCGATGTATTTGAAGCAATTGGCTGGCACTTGGTTCATCTCTCAGTATGACACATATCCTCCAGCTGCTTCGGCCGCTACCAATTCTTTCAACAGTACATTCCCACCCTGGAAACTGGTTAATGCTATTATTCATTGCCAATGGGAAATTTTAATGTACATCAGCGATAATATCACCGTGCAAACAGCTCAGACGTTATCAACGCAAAAGTCTCTCACCGGCGAAGAAATGGAGACGATATATCAGCGAGTATTGGTGTCAAGTCTGCAGGCGTATAGTTATTACTTCAAAAAGATCCCGTCTCGCGAAATCGAGAACACCTTGAGTATTCACGAGAAGATCTTGACCAATACGAAATTCTGGAAATTGGCCAAACACGACGTCCTGCCGATCAAAACTGCTTTCTTCAACGTACTGACGTCGATAATAGAGAATGCGGATCAGCTGTTGCAGAACGAGAAGAAGAGGGTCATGACTACGATCATGAATAGCCTTGACGAATCCGAGTCTGGGATCTTGTCGGCCGTATGGGAGGCGATGCTCGTAGCTATAACCAAGATCAACGACTGGCATTCCGCCGTGAGCGTGGACAAACTCGTACTGCCGAAACTGTGGCGTGTCTTACGATCCGGCGGTCAGTGCTGCGCCAGCATCGTCTATCCGAATCTGCTGCCTTTCCTCAGTCAATTCCCAAAGTTGAGCGTCGATACCGATCAACTGTACGTCAATTTCTTCAGCAATATGCGCCAAGGCTTCTCCGTCAAGAGCGTGCAAGTGAGTCGCTCTGAAATGCAGGCGGTGATAACGTCTTTCATCGAATGCCTGCGTTATTCCGTCCTCGTGAACGTCGAGAACGTGGATCTATGCGTTCGCCTCTTCAAGGAACAGCTCGTGCCCGTGTTGGAGACCTGCATGGCCGATACCGAGAACAATGCAACGATGAAGGAACTGCTGTTCTCCGAGGTCACGCGCTTACTGCGATATTGGAGCAAGAATCGCGCTAACGAGGCGTACAAGTCGTACGTACCTTTGATGCAGCAGTTTTGGATCGAGTTGAGGCTGTTGTTCGACAAGCTCGTAGATGTGCCACCGCGGGAGACCGCGATGTCGCACACCATAGACGCTCAGATCGAACTGCTGCTGACATTGAAGAAACACGCACCAGACTGCAATCGCAAGAAACTGAAAGTGAAATTCGCTAGTCCGGGCGACCCCCCCGTGGTGAAGCAGCAACCGGAGGTAAATATCAGCGAAGTCGAGGCGGACCCGGTGTTCAACGCGGAGCTCTGCGAGTTTGTCAATGCGCTCTGCGTGATTTACTTCAACAAGATCAACGATCGTCAGTCCACCGTGTATATCGGGTCGCTCAACAAAGTAATGAAACATTTTACGAGTAGAGAGCTGTTCGTCGCGCTCTCAACGTCCTTCCAATTCAACAAGGACTTCTTCAGCTTCTACGACGAGAGCCTGCGACCGCTGCTGCTGAGGAATCCGGAGACGATGGGACAAATCGTCGAGTTAATATTCCATTTTGTTGCATATATCAACGACACGGAGAAGGACCAAGTTTTGAGATCACTGGCTGGGTTAAACGACATCGCGATAACAAGAAGTGTCCTGTACTTCAGCCTGTCAGAGTGCAACAGAAACGATCCTGTGATAAAGCAGTGGTACACTCAAGCCGATGTGACCAAGCTGCTGATCGACATGGCCAGGGAAATCTCATCCGAGCGCGACGACCTCGAGAAGAATCAAAGACTGATTTTGTTAGCTTTCGAAACTTCGGACAACGGGGACGCGTTGATCAACGAGGATGCGGCGAACGAAATCGTGTTGATCCTCTGCGATTCGATGAGCGGGACGGATGACACTTGCCCCATACAGTTCGCCCAGTTCATCACGCGCCTGATGACGCTGACGTGGAGTCATAAGCGGATGATATCGAGCGCCGTGCAGATACTGGAGACACTCTTCGAGCTGTGCACACGACGGGGACACGACGACGGCGATTCGGCTTCCGCCGCGACTGTGCGCAACGGCTGGAAGGAGGAGCTCGTCAAGAGCAGCCGGACACTGCCACGCTCCGAATTCAACGATCTTGTCAAGAGATGCGCGGTTATCTTTTGGAGCAAGATATACAGCAACGCGTACACGAGCGCGTGTGCCCACATCAAGGACACACTGCTGGACCTGGCAACGAATCTTTTGGAAGGTATAATTCACGAGAATGACAACACGCAGTCGGATCGTGTCGAGGAGACCATCTTGCTATTTTTAACGATGTCCGACATCAAGTTGTGGGCTGCTGAGGCGACCACCGTTGCGATTTACGGCGAGGTAATGACGGGCAACTTGTACATGTCGAGTCTTGAGACGGAGATGCAGATTTTCCAGCAGCGTGCGATCGTCGATCTAACGAACGACATGATCTCGGACAGCATGGCGACCTGCTTGAAGTGGGCTGTACTCACCACGGACTTGCTTAACAATCTGTGCAAGAAGTTGAGACGCGCCGACGTCAACGAGATCGACGTCAACGCGTCCTCCAGCTTGCAGGAGAACGTTGAGCCGTATGATTTGGATCTACCGGGAATTACGAAGATTCTGCTGAACATCGTACACGTGGCCACCGTAGCGGAGATATACAGCAAACACTATCGGTCCACCCAACACTACAACGACGTGAACAAACTCCTCGATTCGCTCAAGAGCAGTTTCGTCAAGCTGCGGAAACACTTGACGGAGAGTGTTCACGACGTCGTACTGTCTTACATACGAGAGAATCACGAGAGTTACGGGTGCATGCTGCCGTACATAATCCGCACGTACTACGACGAATTCAAGCCGGGCGAGAGTCCCATCGAGTGCTACGAGAGTTGCAGAAGCAGCGAAGGACAGCGCGACGAGGAGGCGTACCTGCAAGGGATGCAAGTCTTAAGCAACTATTGGACGCCGAATAATTTCCCGTCAACGAGAAGCAGCGACGTTTGCACGCTGATCGCCGCAAGAATCACGACCGGTCGTTCCCGGGAGGTCGACTCGGGCAACACCGCTATAATGGACCAGATCATATCGTGTCACAAGAAGGTCGCGAGCTTACTTGTGTTAAATCAGGATATGTTTAACGTTTCATGGGAGCAGCTGCTCTTGCCGTTAGAAATCATAAGGACATTGACGGTAATCGTCCGGCAGAGCCCGTATCTGTTGACGTGCGAACAATGGGACTACACGTTGATATCCCATAGAATGTGGCAGCAGTTGGTCGGCAAATCCAAGTACAACTACACCGAAACCAAGGTGACAGCGTTAATAGTGGCGGTCAGTCAGCTGTATTATGAATTGCAGATTTTATTGAACAAACACGAGCAGCAGCCGATGCCGGAATTGTCTCCCGCGCTCTTGGACGAATGGAAGAACGTATTCGCCGGGAACGTATACAGTTCTATCGCGCACACCTGGAGGTTCTGCGCCGACCTCCACCATGAAGACACGGTGTCTATAAAGTCTACCGTACTGTTGGATTACCTGGGACGAGCGCTCAGTATGTTCGACAGCGCCATATTATTCAAGAAACGCGACATATTATGCAAGAAATACGACCAAGACGCGTCGGTGAACTTGGACGAGATGTTGGAACTGTCCTTGAAACTACTGCAGGCTCCTATGCCTAGTATCCAATTGGGCGCCTATCATATGTTGACGCATATAGTATTGGACCTTGTAGAACAGGACAAGGTTCTCGTCGAGTCCGAGAACTTCGACCCGAGCGGTCTCAGCATCAGGAGACTCGAAGCGGTGTTGTTGAGCATACAGAATATCGTCAACACGATGCTCATCGAGTTCAAGTAAGTTTACGATTTGCGTCCAGTCATTTTAATCGGACGTGTTGCTGACGCGTCTGTTTGTTTCCCTTTCAGATTGTGCGATGCCGTCAGCTGCACGATTCAACCATTCACGGACTCGTACACGTACACCTTGGGATATCTGCTGGCGTGGACTGTTGTGTTAGACATTTGTGCTCATGCTCATGGTGATTTGCGGTATCAACACGCCGAAATATTGAAGTGAGCATTGAACGTCGCGATACGACGCATTACTCATTTCCACACATTCGCGTCTCTTTCGTAACTTTGTACTAAACATATGTCATGAACTTCAGAGATGAGCTTTTCCCTTGTCTGTTGAATAATATCTTCAAGTTGATGCCACTGGAAGGACCGCATGATAATAAAAATAAGACTGCAAAGTTGCTGGAGATCTTCACCACTGCCCCGTCGTACAATTTTGGAGGTCCTGCTAATATTGATTGTACTGCATATAAAGCATACGATTGTATTATATCGTCTTAAATACCGTATATGTGTTATAGAAAGTTGGACAGAGTGGAGATTGGATCATATCATGTGTTGGTCATATACGAACTGCCTACGACTTCTGCCAGTATTAGTTAGACAATGGTGGAGAACGGTTGACAGCAGAGCCAGCGCAACGATAGACAAGATCACGACTCACTACGTTAGTCCTACGCTTTACCAAGAGGAGCTTCTCAACAACAGACTGTCGTGTCAACAAAAGAACAACATGGAAAATATACAGGTACATTTATCGAGAGAATCTCTATGTACTTTTAAATTTGATCGCTCAATCTAATGTGTTACTGTACTGTGTTACAGGTGAAAGTACATTCGACAGCAAGGGAAGTAATAGCCATGTACCAAATGGACGATAACAAATTGGAATTAAGTATTATACTACCGCCGAATTATCCACTAGGCACTGTGAAAGTAGAAACCGCCCAACACGTAGCTGGCACGGCGAACTGGCGGAATTGTCATAAGCAACTCTCTATATTCCTGACACATCAGGTAAGCATTACATTCAACATGTGATACGTAACGATGAAAAATCTACATACTTGAATTGTCATATTTCCTGCTGTAGAATGGTTCTATTTGGGACGGTCTCATAATGTGGAAGCGCAATTTGGATAAGAAGTTTGCGGGCGTTGAAGAATGCTGCATATGCTTCAGTATTTTCCACATCAGCACGCAAAAGATACCAAAGTTGTCGTGTAGCGCCTGTCGTAAGAAGTTCCACACTCCCTGTTTGGTAAATATACATTATGTTACGTTAACATATATTATTTTTTTATAAGATTTATATGTGGTATTGTCAAATTGTTGTTATTCTTCTTGCAGTATAAGTGGTTCAACACGAGTCAAAACTCCACCTGTCCAATTTGTAGAAATGTGTTTTAATGCAACCTGGTCAAAATCCTTTTTTTTTTTGTTTTTTTTTTGTAACGACATTGAGTACAATAAATTGTGAACGATGCGCTGAGATATTGTAAGATAAAATTAATTTAACGATTCTTGCTGTAAAACACTGAATGAGCACTATAATACGTTAAGTTTATTAAAACATTATGATATTAAAACATTCGCAGATAAACAGATAATAAATATCAACTGAATAAGAAATTTATTATGTAGATGTATTCCTTCTCAGGATAACGATCCTGCCGTTGATCACGTCCGCTCGCAACAGACGTGTAATGCTCAGGGACATGACCCATTTATACTATAATTATAGTATAAGACCCGTATAGCATGATAGTTAATAATCCCTTATCTCGAGAGACGCGCCGTCAGTCACGTAGAGATATTTCGGGCCCGTGCATCTGTTTAAAACTGTTTTCAGGAAATTCACTAAAAGTGTTTGTTACCGATCGATTTTTAGAAAATTAAGCAGAATAAACTTAAATTAAAAAAGACTTAGTTGACTGACAATTTTCCCTTTTTTACTATTCATCTTTCCTTTAATATATGTATTTCACGACACGTTCTCAATACATATTAAAAAAAAGAATTATTTAATGAATATAATTTTATTTTTCAATGAGTTTTTTGCATTAGTGTCTAACAAAAAATAGTCACCAATAGATGATAAAGAATTTAATTCTGTTATTTAATTTAATATTCTAAGAACCGAGATTGTAGTTTTTTCGGTCGTTTAGGATTTTCAGTTATGAAAAGTTCGAGTATAAAGTAACAGATGCTCACTAAGCTCACTTATCCAGATTATCAAGAAAAATAGAGTAGACTTATTATCAGTATGCATTTCCTGAAAATATAAAAGTTCCAAATACAAATATTGTTTGAAGTGCCGCGTCGTTATCACAAATTCAAGGCCAAATATATATATATATATAAGAACAGAGGTAACGCATCAGAATGTCGGCGTATGTCAATCGCGACAGAGTGCACTACGGATTACCTTGGAGTACAGTAATTATCTAAAGTGTGTATTACTTAATATGAGATTTTACGATATCAGACCAAATTTTATGTATTTTAAAATAACCCAAATTCTGTGTCACTTTCAAGCTGCAACAAAAAATTTATATTGAAATACTTTAATTTATATCGAATTTCCAAACGAATTCTGCATAAATATGTGTCGCAAATTTAAAATGTAATTTAGCACAAGAGAAGGTGATTTTCGTGAATCTAATATTAATTGTAGTATTTACCGCTGAAAAATTGAGCGCATTGTATCATAGCTTCACATACGTCTTCTCTATTAATAGATGTGTAACCTAAAAAATATTATCGAAAGACAAATTTAATTAGTATATAATAGCATGATAATCGCTTATCGTATTGTTCATCATAGTCGCAGAGGATCATTCACTTTATCAGCGGCATGTTTCGTGACATGACATTAAGGATTTTAACGAACAGCTGATGATCCTTGTAACTCGTATAGTGGCTATACTCTACTTTTTTGTAGACTATGTATATGTCTATAAATATTATATCCCGACGTAAATCAATTGCTGAATAGAACGCAGTTGATAAAATATTTCTATTTATTGACTCAAATCTGTGTGGTTGTGATTTATCTATAAAATTCTTTATAAGGTCTAAATATATTCTTTGTATACATACTTTAACTAGATTTATAAAAAATGATTAAAACTAATGCTTCTGTAAAAAATTTTGCTCATTTATATATGAAATATTTTTGTAATTTTGATGAAAGAAAAGAAAAAAGATTTTGATTTCAAATACAATATAATTTTGTAATATCCTACAATGTAATATAAATTCATTAATAATGTCTTTAATTATTTTCAGGATGCTGTCTAGGCAATTTGTTCGTAGTGGCCAGTCACGTGCAGCAGTGAGATGGTTTACTCGTAACAGTATTATGCGAGAATCTAATCAATCACCAAAACACAGTGATAGCACAAAGGATGATGTTTTAGGTAAAAATTTCACGTAAAATACTTACATAGACTAAAAAAGACACATCGTATAAAATAACTATTCCTTCTAAGATGTACTAAATGTTTAAGAATTTGTATAATTAATTTCAATCAAATTATTACACATTGAAAAACTAATATTTAAAACCAAAGAATCTGCAGCATTTCTTTTCCTTTTTAATCCTATTGTGCAATGGAAGAAATGAGGGAACTTTTTTAAAGATATAATACATATATATATATTTTTATGTTTTAGCGAAGCATATGTATCGTGTCACCAACTTTGATAAACGAATATTAGTTTGGGTGAAAAGATATCCTAGCATTGCGGAAGTTCCTGAGAAAGTTACGTATGTGTTACATATTTATGTTCCTATAATATTTAGAATTATATATGCAAGGATAGAGAAAGAAAAGCAAAATTAAAAGCAAAAATATATATGATTTTAAATTCAAATTACAACAACAAGATTTTGTAAAACAGTGAAAGATGTTTGAAAATCTCTAGGCAATTTTATTCTTTCATCTTTTATATTGTTCTTGTCTTGTAATTATACTTTTTCCCTAGAGTTGATTGTCTACTTACTGCAAGGAGTAAAGCTCGAATCAAGACCTGTAACTACATGATAGTTGTAACCATAATTGGTTGCATTATTGCTGCGTTTTTGGGAAAAAGACAAGCTGAGAGAGGAGAAAACTTGTTCAAGATGAGACAAGACTGGTATGAAGAAATGCTAGAGAAAGATAAAAATAAATAAATAAACGCCAATCAAATCCCATAACATTCACATGGCGAATGTTGTCAAAATGTAGAAATAAATTAGAATTATTTAGGATGCATAATTTTGAAAAAGCATGAGGAGATATGAAAATCTCGTCGATATTTTGAAGTGACATTACTTCTGATATTTTTTACAAGGCAATAAACATTTTGATTTGATAGTTTGTATTTGTTATGTATAATGAGCGTTTTATAAAATGTCTTACAATAATCAGATGATAAAATACTCTGTGTATGTATATATACACGCATCTATTGTACAATTACAAGTATTAGTCAAGTGAGGAGCCTTGATTTATGTACATAATTGATAACAATTTAAGTTGGCAATATATATATAATATTGTACATCTAACCATGTGGTCCATATAATCCATGTATATGTTTCTCTGTAGATGACGTACAAATACAATAAACGCTCATGAAAAGATTTGTATATACTACATGTGTCTTTGTTGTAAAATATAGTATTTTGAAGAGTAAACAAATTGTATCTATAATATTTCTAAGATTGCTATATACATAACTATATATAACTGAATATAGCAACTGGATGATCTAAGAACCAATGATGTAACCAAATGATCCAGTTTATTGGATTATATGGAAGCTCCTATGTTTTCATATGTGATGGTTTGTAAAATCCACGGCATTTTTCATAGTAGACTTGTATTGTGCGTTGTCTTATTACTTCTTCTATATTAAGCTCAGCTTGTAACAGTCTCAATGTGTTCTGTTCTTTTCTCAAATTCTTTATAAGAGTTGGACTCTCGTCACCATGGTCTTTTAATTTCTTCATATGCATAACTTTTTCCTTAGTGATATTCAGACAGTTTGTGATTGCTTGCTCTCTTTGAGTATGTTCCGATTCTATTTGCTGGAATAAGTCTTTACATTGTGTTGTAGGGTCCACTTGGCCTTTGAAAGATTCAGTTGGAATTGTAGTGTTCAGCATGTATATTATTTTATCATCTACCAGCCTCATCTTTTTTAATATATCCTGAAATATGTATATTATAAATTTTTATTATTTAATCTTGTTCAATCATAGGTTTTTTAGATATTATTTTTAACATGTTATGTTATATTGAAATACCGAAAAGAACATATAACGAAAAATGTTGAAATATAGAGTTCTTATACTTAAATTATATATATATATATATATATAATTCTTTTGGTAGCAGCTAACCTAGCGAATCTTACATCCAGTCTAACCTCTCAATAAAGCTGCACGTGTGTGAATAAATATACACAAATGCGATTTCTTCAAACAATTACGTTGATAATTTATGTATTATCGAGCTTTAAATAATTTTCTTCTGTCGAAATATATTTTTTGTGCATAAAAGAAGATAAAACTATTAGCCGGTATTATAAGTCTTCATTGTTACTTTGGAATAACTTAAGTTCTATTAAATATACGTATATTCCTTATATTTGCATAATATGGTGCATAAATTGACGAATGTTACATGTGTAACTGCTTTCAGAAATACCTGAAATTCTAAAAAATCGCCGCACTGCACACTTGCGGTTGCCATCGTTGAGGTCAAAGGCCACGCACGAGTAAGATAAGTGATCATGTGCACCGATTAATCGATATATTCGATTATTCTTTGCTTAACAATTAATTAAATTCTCTTGTTACTAAGCTTAATTTCTTTTATGCTCATGATTTTTCTTTTTAATTTAATAGTACTACAAATTTCATTATAATTTTCAATATAACTTTAACTGGAATAATTGAACAATTGCGATTTTTCATTTAACCTGATATAATCTGGTAACAAATGAAAGTAACATTATCAATTTAATATACTTGAAAAGAAGAGATTTCAATCTTTAAAATGCTTTTTGAGAACCAACCCGCTATTGTTATTTTTGCCAAAGCCTTAAAACCCTTTGAATTTCACCCATTTTTCGTGGTAGAATAAAAGACGTCTAACTTGCCGTTTAGTAAGACTACTGAGACGGGTGCCAGCATGACACATTTTCACCGAGTGTCGTGCTGGCGCCAAAGGTTAAAATTAATTTAAAAATAGTTATATGGCTAAACAAAATGACTGCAAAGGGTTGTATTGTATGAAAGTCGAGTAGAACAAGCTAGAACAAGCTAGAACCGTCAGAAATGCCGTAAGTTGACGGCACGTCGAGAAAATGAAGCTACTCCAATTTTGTACCATACCATGAGTCCGTTCCTCGGTGTGTATGATGGCGGCACATAGCGGAGACTCAGGAATTAATTCATGAAAATAACGGGTCTAATAATCGCCTCCTTGCTTCCTCTAGACCTCTTATTTCCTTTTAAGATAACGAGTTAAAAATCTATGTTGTCACATAGATTAGAAGATAGTAATTATTATTAGATTTCTATATACATGTTTAACTGAAGGAAAATAAACTTTGTATTTAGAAATGTAGTATCTTTTTCGATTAATATGATGATTATATACTTCTGAAGGAACCTAAATTGTGATTCGATCTTTTGATAACTGAGTTTCCATTTGATTTCGCTAGATGGCACGAGTACACCGTTGGGCATTTTTGAAACAAATGGACAAATTCAATCAAATACTGAAATATGGCGCCACTTAGTTCGTTAGCTAGTAAGTGCTTTTCTAATAAGTAATACCTCGAAACTAAGACAAATTTAACAAAATGCTCGTATGTGAGTCATTTCTCAATATATTTTTATCATATTAATACTGTCCGAGATCGGTTTAATACATTTATGTAATAATTATCGGATAGTGCATTTGTACGATATTCAAAGTGCCAATACATAAGTACTTTGGCGTAATATCAAATTTAATTAAAACAATACGATTGTTTTCAGTAATGAGCTAGTTATTATTCATCGGAGAACAGACAACAGTGTAGCAAAAGCTAACGCCGCACAGTCGAAGGGCTTTATAACTTGAACGATACGAGCATCTTTACGACGGTTCAACAAAGTTTCTAAACGGCATCAGTCCAACAAGGTAAGAATCAATTTCAAGCAACAATAATTTTAGCTATTTGTCGTTAGTTGGAGATATAAAAAGATATGACGTTATAATTTGAATAAATAGCAATGCGTTTATGTAAAAATTCAAATTCATCAAAACATTGTCGTCCATTGCAATGACATGTTGATTTATATTTTTATAACATTTTAACGATTAAATTTTATATTAGAAAATATGGAAGAAAACTAAGAGTTTTACATCTTAAAATGTTTTTAGAAATATTTCGTCTTAAATTTTTTTAAGTTATAACCGGTTGAATTTAAAAAATTATATTCTTCAATAGTAGATAATAGCAATAGATAACGAGATTTTTTCTTTTTTTTCTTTTTGATAGATTGAGATCGTAATATAATTTAATAATAAATCGGATGTTTCTCTCTTTTTCTCTCTTATTAGTCCATTTACTTATTAAGTTTATTATAAAATCGGCATAAGGTTCTTTCTTCTTTTATATTTTTTATTATTTAGATACATTTTTTTATATAATTATATATTTATTTTCAAAAAACACCTAGATAGCGACGTAAGCCATACAAATATGACTTGGAAAGCTGTTAATATTCTCAGTTGTGCTTAAGTGTAAGTTTATATTCTAGTTTTATTAAATCTGTCTTCATATTTTTTAAAATATCGAAAGAAAGATGTTTAAGCGGTTCACGAGGTGGGCCGACATTAATGTCAGTAAGAAGAGCCATTGCTGTTTTCATAGTATCCACCCAAGAACCTACAAATAATCATATTAATGATAATATGCTTGGTGGGAAATTTGCATAAAAGCAATATTGTATTTACCATGTTTAGATATAGCAATCACAGAGTTTGTAAGTTTCTCTTGCATCTCTCTAGCTGTCAAAGAATCGTCATTCTTGCCCGCGGCAACAAGATCTATTATAAGTTCTGGAAATATGTTTATGCTGGTAGCTATGAAAGAATCCATTCCCATTGCACATGCGGCGTTCATTATCTGGAAGATAAAAGAGAAAATACATTTTCTTAAAAATTAAAATTTAAAGTTAAAGAAAACGCAAGGCTTTGTTTCTAATCACCTTGAGCAAAATTCTTACCTGGTCATTACCAAGGAAGATGGCATATTTTTTATCATCAGCATGTAGCGCCTGTGCACCTTCATCTAAATTTGCACTAGTGAATTTTATGCCCACAAACGTCGGTATTTCATCACCAATCGATTTAAGGAATTGCCCCATGTGTACTGTAAACCATTTTATTGAGTGACTTTTAATTAGTAACTACATTAAAGATTAAAAGATTACTTACTATTAACGTTCGTAAACATGGGAATATGATAATAAAGTAAAGGTGTGCTTGGTGCTGCTTGCCCAATTATATCCAAATATTCAATCAATTGTTCAGAAGTAGTAGGCTTGAAATATAACTCCGGCAAGCAAAGGATGGCATCTACATGTAGACTTTCCGCATGTTTTGCCTGTAAAATTATCATTACCATTATTACTCAATTCCATCTGCTGGCTTCATATTTTATACAGCACATTTAATATATTTATATATTTTTTCTCATAGCTATAAACTTATAGCTATAAGCAGCTTTTCCTTACAGCTATATGTTGCACTTACAAGTTCAATGACATCAGGGAGAGGAGCACCTCCTACTTGAATCATTAAGTGTTGTTTTGTTTCTTTCACTGCTTTTGCCCAGGCTTCAGCGACAAGTTTTCTTTCGCTAACAGACATTAACATTCCTTCACCACTTGTACCATTGACTGCAACAGGAATATTATGTTAGATAAAATATCACTATTTTACTTTTAAATTAAACATGACAATGCATTTGGCTCAATTTATTTGAAATAATTGAAATGTAACATTACTTGAAACGTTACTAGAACATTACTCATATAATTAAAATATTAATGACGGAAGCTGCTTACCAAGTAAACCTTTGACTCCCTTCTCTGCCAAATATTTCCCATATTGAGGTATAACATTTAAATTGAGAGACCTATTGAACAAGTATTTTCAATTATTTTCAACAGAAATTTTGAAAGACATCTTAAAAATTGTTTGAGTTATCATTTAATCAAATATGAATCAGAGTTTTATAATTGATGTATATAAAATTATTACCTGTCTTTATTAAAGGGAGTAAATACTGGGGCAATAAGACCCCTGTATGTGTATGATAACCGCTGCAAATGTAAAGTAATATAATTTCGAGAATATTTTTAGTAAAAATATATTTTTTCTCGGCAGTGGCTCGGTAAATTAAATTTATATATTACAATAAATCTAATTCTATCTCTTTCTCTCTCTCTCTCTCTCTCTCTCTCTCTCTCTCTCTCTCTCTCTCTCTCTTTCGTATTTTACCAATCGCACAATCGTCGTGAATACAGTTATTAACATTCGCAAATGCGATATATTGAAGCGCAGCAACTTCACGACGAACTGCGTCTTCCAACGGAATTTCGCGTACGGTACGTCGGTGCATCGCGGTTCTATTTGTACGGGATCGTGAGTACGAAATTTTATTAGTTTAAACAAAGTACGCTTCGTATACGTGATAAATTCCGATAGTTGTTAACGTGCGTTCATCGATACAACTTACGGGCATCGTTGCGAAAGCTTCGACGTGTGTTACGAGCCGGCAACAAATTCGACACGGAGAGCGACGCGGCGACAACTATGCAACAGGCGGTGAGTGAAATCGCATTTTCGAGCGCTGATAAGATAGCTCGTTGTTTATTCGCTTGCAATTACAAGCGCACGAGTCACGAGATGGCGATATTAACTGTTGAAGAGGTAACGAGCGACTGATAACGACACTGATTGCGTATCTTTTTGATTGAATTAGAACGTGTTGAAGTTACCGTAATTCCGATACGATATCGTTACTTTTGATACGCGGTATTTTTTTTTTGCAGTCGTTGCTTTATACTTTACGAGAGAGCGAAATCTCATGGAAAATGTGTACGATGCCTAAGGAATATCCCGATGCATATCCCGATAAAGTATCGATATTCGATGAATATCAAAGTGGAAAATTCATATGATACTTCATCATCGGCAGTTTCGCAGGTATCGGGCTAGAGGTTTGGTTAGGTTAGGTTAGGTTAGGTTATTAACGTCGCGAAGAAACGAGTACCTCTTGGAGAAAAGAGGTGGCGGTGGCGGTAACGGTCAATCGGGGCGGGAGGGGGAGGATTCAATTAACAAGGACGACGATTATTTATAAAAATGCTCTTTATGTTTATTTACATGTAGATTCTTTTTCTCAACAATATGTCAATAGTATTAATATATTATTGTAATGATAAATTCGCTATAAGAGAATGTTCCAAGATGGTCGCATGCTTCTTTTTATTTGTTTAACGGATATTACATGCTTCTCTTTTGTTCTTCGACAACACGAGAATGGAGGCTACTCGAGTGTTTATTACATAATAACGCCAAAGAGAATTCTATTTTTAATGTTAGCTGCTACTCATATAATGCTCGTTCTTCCTTTAATTTGTAATAATTGTCGTTCAAATGCGACGAAAAGTCATGCTACGGCGTACTGTATACGCGCATCTAGGAGAATAGTTTTTTTGGTTTTTAGCGATAACATTACCTCGTTTATTTTTTTTATGCTTTTACGTTTTGCCTCACGATCTGTCACGTCCACCTTGCTCATTTCAAAGACTCGTCACCGTTCGTGACGATCGTCGCGCAATCACAACGCTCAATTAACCCGACGACTCGCTGCTCGATCAATATTTGCTTCTACGATAAAGTTTACAATGAAATTTTTCTCATCTATTATCGATCGATTATTATCGATCGGTAAAAGTTTCATCTAATTTCGGTGAGAAATCAGTAGCAGCAATTAAGAGAGAAAACTTAAGCCCCAGCGACAACAGAGTGTTCTTCCGTGGCACTCTCGGTGCCGTATCTTTTCTCTTTCTGCTTTTTTCTGTTCTATAACGCGATTTTTAATGAATCACGAGTAGCGCGCGAAATCATTGCGAGATGACCGGTCTCTGGAAGTAAGTGAGAAAACGGACTGATTCTTTGCGCAGGTAGCCCGATCGCGAGGCTTCTTCTTTTCGACAAACACGTGATCATTAACATTCGGCGATTCGACTAATTACTGCACCGCTTCGCTATAACTCGCGTATACAATTTTTTATTTTATTTTATTTTGTTTTTTTTTGCCAACGCTCGTACAGTGATATACATTTTATTGACGATGATAACCGGGGATAAAGCCGTCGACGAGAGACGCGGGCAGCAACCGCTTACAAGATAAACGCGTTACGTATATGATAAAGTTTTACACTTATGAAAAAGAGACACCTCGTATCGTATTATACTTCGATTAGAGAGATCGACACACCGGCGAGGTAATCGGGCCAGCCCGACCGCGCGCGGCGAGAACACGCGTCTAATTAATTTATTTTTATCTTTCATTTTCTCCTTCATCTTCTTCCCCTACTTCCCATCTTCCTTCGCTCTTTCAAACGCGTTCCACTTCATCAACCACTACCCTATCGCAGTTTTCTCTGTTCTCTCTCTCTCTCTCTCTCTCTCTCTCCCCCCCCTCCCTCTCTCTCTCTCTCCCGCTCTTCCTCTCTCGCTTTCCCGCTAGAAGATTGTTCGTTTCGTTTCCTCTCCTCTTTTGCATTAGCTTTCCTTTGGCTCCGGAACGGCACGCTCCGTAAAATGCAGCGCATCAGCTCGACGATGCCTCTTCGAGAGCAACACGTATATGTGCGCACGATCATATATTTATATATTTATATATATATATATATATATATATATATATATATTATACGCGCGTTTCTCATAATTATAACATAACAGCTACCGAAGAATCACGGATATGTACAGTCAGGGATATGCCTGGTCGGCGCGTTCAAGCATCTTTTTTTCTCCTTGGTTTTCGGCTCTCGCACGACCTCCTCGAGGATGGTTCACCGTTCGCGTCGTGCTCCTGTCGGCTCCTCCGCGCTCCGTCGTCTCCCTCGCCCTTTCTCTGCCCGTGCCGTGCTATGGCCGAGCGGAGGAGAGGCGGAGGTAGACTTAATACTGCATCGTTTACGTAGGTTTACGTAGATTCGGCTCCTCGGGGGAGCTCGCTCGGTAGAATCCTTAATCAGAGTGGTCCCAAAAATATATTAAGAAGTAGTTGTTTCGTGCGCGCGCGCGCAGCTCAATACGCGGCAGCCACCCTTCAGACGCGTCCAACGAGCCCTTCGGGATCGGCCGCGAAGGGGGAAGGGAGGGAAGTCGGTCCGTCGAGCGTGGACGTTGTCGGATTTCCGGAGGATTGTAGTGCGATCACATGGTATTCATCGCGCGACGCGAAAAATACCGCGGACGATGTTTCATTTGTTCCTTCATCCGAGCCAAGGAGACGCAACCCTGATGATCGTTAATTAGCGGTAACAGTTAATTAACGGTAAAGCTTCGCTGCGTCGCATTGCCGGAGTAAAGCAAACATGTCACGCGCGTTAATCTCAATGCTGGTACGATGCACAGATGATCAAAGTGAGCGATGAAAAGGAGTAATTAATTTGTTCTCGCGCCAATGACGGCGGTGTAGTAGAGGAAATAATTATTTTCGTCGGTTTCGCGTAGCAAAATCAGAACGCGATCAATTGGTTACCGATCATTGGTTATTACGAAGTTGAAGCAACGCGGTCTCACCGTTGCCGAACTCGCGATTTCGATCGGTTTCCCGACGCGGCATCGCGACGATTCCGCGATCCTCGGCAGCGTCCACGCTTTCCGGACGCGGAATTTGTCGGTCAATCGTATGCCAGCTCGTTGCAACGTTCTGCGGCGGCGCGGCGCGACGCGACGCGACGAGCGGTCACCGGTTGCGACCGGTGAAGAAGAAACGCCCGATAAGAGAGCCTCGTCCGCGTTCGCGTAGTCGATGATTCTCACGATGCGGGGGGTTTAGCCGGAGGTCCAAGGAGCGTCGAATATTAATTATAGTAATTAATTATCGTTATTAGTAGCCATTGTTCGTTACTGCTTATGTACATAACGTTCCTCTCACAAGATGCTCTCTGCTCTCCCTTTTTACATTATGTGTATATATATATATATGTATTGAAGAAATACTGCTGCGGCGTATTCGCCGGGATACACTTTGATCCGGCTTCTAATTGCTGCCTTTTTATCGCGCAAACTACATACATGCATATGTACGTACGCCCGTGTTGTACTCGTCAAGTTCGCGACTCGCGAAGATCGGTTCTCCCGCCGACGACACGCGCGCGAGATTTCACTTTGCATCGCGATCTTTCGCACAGGACGCGACCGGAATGAATTTATGTGTCAAGTTATACCGCAAAACGGGACTCTAACGCACTCTTAGGCTCCCGTGCAAAATGCGAGCATCTCTGGGAAACAAAAGCACGAAAACAGTCGGGAAGAGGAAGAAGAGAGATTGTAATAACGGCGAGTACGAGCTAATCGAGAGGCGTTCTGCTCTTTTTCTTTTTCTTTTCTCCGTTTTTCGTCACAAATGTAGAAATATTCCGAGGGCTTGCGTGAATGCTCATCAGCGGGTGGTGTGTATTTTCTGAGGAGCGACACGCGCGCGTGTGGTCGCAGCCTGCAACGCTCGCAATATTGTCCATTGCGTGGATTACGCCGATCGTCGGATCAGACGGCGATCTAGCTAGCCTCGATCTACGTATCTGCGAGGATGATTACGCTACGCGACGATCGCGCGATTCGAATAGCAAACACGCTCGGCTCGCACGTCCTCTCTCGATGATGCGACGCTGCGGATCGCCAATCGGCCTTCAAGTCGAATCGCGTCCTCGTCGCTGGCAGATACGACGCGATCGCGTTCACGGGCTGTGTCGATCTACGCCTCTATGGGATAATTACTTTATCGAACAGTATTTCTTTCATCATCTTTCTCATCCGCTTCTTCATCGTCATCTTCTTCTTCATCATACTATACTCTCTCGGGGATAATACGTATAAATATAATTGGCCTGCGTGTTCGTCCCTTATCTTTTGTTTCCGTCTGTGCTCATTGGTCTCTCGTGGAGATATGTGATTTGTGTGTGTGTGTGTGTGTTTTAAAAGAGACTAGATAAACACCAGCGCGAAGGAAGTAGTATCGAAAAATATACAGAGTCCTTCCAGTGACGTCGCGAAGTATCTTAGAAGAAGGTGGGATATGATGGAATTTGCATTGAAAAGATCCCGGCGATTCCGCGGCGCTTCTAAAAAATCAGTCGGCGGGGGCGTCTCGAAAATATATAAAACATCTGGAACGATTCATGGAAGACGGGGCAAGGCTGTGTTCGCGACCTCACTGGCGTGCGACGTGTGATTCCTCGTATTTGTTCCTCGTTATTTAATTAACGTTAAAATAGCGGAATTAGCTTCGGAAAAATTAGGCTGTCGGCTCCGGACCGCGCGTCGACCACAATCGGGCGGACGCGCGCGTCCGTTCGCGCGCGCGGTCTCTCTCTCTCTCTCTCTCTCTCGCGTGAAAAAATAATTGAACAGCGCGATTAGCATAGCACACACACTCGAACGCGAATTTTTCCATTCGACACTCCTTGGTCTCGTATTTACAATCTACGTTTTATATATGTATACACACACATACACACACACACATATATATATATATATATTTATATAATATATATATGTATATATATTATATGTATACGTTCGCTAAACACAATTAGGAGAGAGGGACGGTAATCGAGAATGCAACATCGATCTACCCTCTAGCGTTAACAATATATAGTAAATATAGCTTTTACGCGTTAGCATCTGCCGAATATACTACGACGCTCTTTCTCTCTCTTTCTCTCGTCGGATTCTCGTCGGGTTCCTTTATCACACGATCGGTCAGGCGAGGAAACGGAAAACGATCGTTTTGCAGACGCTGAGCAGAGCGAGGTGAACGAAGTGAACGACAATAACGATGATACACGTGACTTTGTCGCAGGGCTTTCGCGCGAGAGCGCAGCTCTCGTATCGTAATGCAAAACTTCAGGTACGACGTTGAAAAATGATAAAGACGACGCTTGGGACGCAAATGAGAGAGAAAGACAAAGACGAGAAGTCGCAGAGAAGAGGCTGCGACAATCCTTCCGGAGACACGAGTGGCTATCGAGTGGGTAAACGGGTAGTTTCTTCTTTTCTTTTCCGATCTGCGTCTCGAACGGAAACACGCTGAAACGGGAAGCACTTCCGACAAATACGTCTACACGCGGATCCTAGATCACTTATTAGACTGTCGTATGTCGTTTCTTTTTGGCAAAGTTTCTTTAGAGCGATCGTGAGCGATCGCCCGTCGACAGGCGAGAATCGCGCTCTCCCCCCTCCAGTTATTCGTTGTACAAAAATAATAAAATCAGCCGCTACGTGGCACTAATTTTTCCGACGCGCCAGCGCGCCGATCAGACACGGCCGATCAACGTCGACTCGCGTCTGACAAATTTACTGCCACGCTACGTGAAATGAACTCCCGTTTGACGTGTATTACGTGGGGTAACGTGGGGGTTTGACGCGCGACATGACGGTCGTGTCGGTTCTTGAGAAACTTAAGGGGATTGAAGAATCGTCGCTTTTTGCCACTTAATGATGATTGTGCGATCGTTAGCAGCTGCTGCTACGACAGGCATGCCACATATTTTAACTTTTAAAAAATTCCTCAAAATGACGGCGCGACTTAGCGTTGTTGGTGGTCTTCATATGCGCGGTGTCCTCCTTCCCATCTTTCCTCCGGGAAGCTTCTAGCCCGCTGACGTTGGGTCTACTTTGGTCGTCGCGCTCGAACCTGACGTTTCGTTCGAGAATCGCGCGCGGCTGATCGTAATCGTAAGGGTCGAAGAATCTCTTTGTTCCCTGAAGAAACCACTCGTCTGCTATGTCTCGCATCAATGTCGCCGCACGGCCGCGATGATAAGAAAAGCGCTCGGTCTAGGGTTTCTTTGGCAATCGTACTAGGACTGTGTCAATCGTGTCAGTCTCGAGTTTTCATCTTCTTCTGCAAGACTTACCGAGTTACTCGTGTAACTTGTTTTTTCTCTCTCCTTCGAACATCTGGCGACCGACGCGAGACCACGCGGCGCATGATATCTCTCGATTTCCCTGGTCCAAGCCCTTTTCCTTCCGCATAGCGCAGCTCGACAGGATAGTCGACATAGGATCGTTCTCGCAAGATCAGGACTAGATCAGGACTAGATTTTGACCGACTTTAACTGGACTACAATTGGCTTACAATGGGCTTCTCCGAGCGGCGAAGATCGATGATATCGACGTCGCCCTTGACTGCCACTATGACTTCCAAACTGTCAGTTTCCTTAATGACACTTTCTTCAGGTGAAGAGCGGCATTCAGGATGTCGGACTCGCGAGTGTCCTCGCCGTCGGAGTGGACCTCGCGATGCCTGCGTCCCGACATCTGCCATCGTCCCGGCAGTCGATATCTCAAACCTCTCGAGGTCGGGTCGGACAGTACTCCCGAGACCGGCACCTTCTCCTTGCTGGATCCCGGCAGCGACACCGATCTGCCCACGGAGAATCCCTTGCTGAGTCTGTCGAGGGTCGCGGGCAGGAGGTGTCGCATCCTCGGGATGGCTTGCTCCCGTTCCCTCAGGATGAACCTGCCGAGTGTCTTCCAGAACGCCTGCGTGCTGTAGACGTTCTCGTCGTCGCGCAACACCCTCAGTTGACGGTTCCCGCTGCCCACGGCGGCCGCGCCACCCCATTCCAGTTCCTCGACCAGGGCGAACTTCATCGGGTCCTCCATTCTCCGAGCCTTCACCAGAGCTTGCGCCAGCACATCTTGCGCTGAGCTGCTCACCGGCACGCGTAGAATCGCGTAAGGGATCTCGGGTGATACGTTGTAGATGCAGACGAGGAAGGTGGCCGCCTCGTCCCATATGTGAGTGGATTGGTCCCTCGAGTTTGAGTCGTTGAGCTTCGAATGGCCGGCTGTACTTCTGATGGAGGCCAACCACGCTCTGCTGCTCGGATCGTCCCCGACTCGTTTCAGAAGAAAACGACCTTGGCCTTTCCACAAAGCTTGCGCCTGAAGTGGATGTTCCGTAGGATCGAGCACGCGTTGGGTCGGTAGCTCTTCCTTGTCCCTTTTCTCCCAGCCGCGAAACACTTCTTCCACCAAGATGTACTCGTCCACGTGGTCGGGCGATATCCCTGCCTTCTGCAAAGCTTGCAGCATCACTTCCTGCGTGGTGCTCTCTTGAGTTACCTTGAGGATGGTGTAGGGTTCCTCCGGTATCACATGGTAGACCATCAAGAAGAACATTCGCCTCTTGAGAGTGACACCGCCCAGGCCGGGGTCGACAGTGCTGAGTTTCTCGGGCTCTTTGCCCGAGGAGAGACGCTTGGACGACTCCTTGTGGTCGCGGCAGCAGGTGTTGTAGTCCAGGCTCTCTTCCTCCATTCGCGAGTAGATGAACAGCGTGGATAGGGCCAGTGGCTTGTTCTTGCAGGAGCGCAGTCGCACGTGTCGGTAGCCAGGTCGCAGACACTTGAGCGGTATCACGCGCTGCGCGATCAGGTGGTGCGAGCTCGCCTCGACCACGCCGAAGCGCAGGAAGGCGAGGTCCTTGAACATCACTTGGAAGCAGAATTTCTCGTTCCAGATCGGATTCACCGCGTTGTTTTGGATCACCTTCGTTTTGTGCTTCGCGCAGTCGATCGGTATACCGACCAGCTCGACCTCGACGTATGTACTGGTGAGGAAGTTGGTCGACGAGACATATTGTCCCGAGACTATTGACAGACTCAAGTGTGCCGAGTGCAGCCCGTCGAACTCCTTGTCCCATGGGTTGAACCGCCTGTCGACACGTGTTTGCGATCGTTCGAGGAGAGCACTTAGCAACCGCTATTCATAATTTATCAATCAATCCAATTCTTGTGTAACGCGTACACCACGCGTGCAAACGGCGTGCATTAGAGGAAAAAGATACGTCTCTCGCGCTCTCTCGGATAATATATTCTCGGAGATCTTCATTCTTTTCTTATTAAAATGAAGCGAAGAGAAAGGATCCAATTTCTCAAAATTATTAAATGCCTCGTTTGAAAAAATTTCAGGCAGATACGAGATATTAATTATCTTAACACTTTATACGCGTCTGATTTTTTTGCTCTTTAAAAGATTTGATCTATCGGGAAGAGTAATTTTGATCGTAAGAGATCGTAAAGTCAGGTGCGATGAGCTCACCTGTACATCATGTGCCCTTTATCCCACATCACCGAAGGTTTCCTGACGTATCCGCATTGACCATTTTGCTCGAACATGGCCGTGTTCAGGTGCAAGCCCGCGTCGTCGGTCTGATAATTCAACGCGACCATTTGAATCCCGAATGCCCAGAATATTACGGGGTTGAAATTTGTAGAATCGATACGCATTCCTGCGGGGTACGTTCGGATCAGCTGGGTCTCTGAATGGGCGACGACTCCTAGCGGCTGCTTCCTGCAAATCTTCTTGGCCGTGCTCTCGTTCAGAGACGAACATTGGAAGCAGACCGGCACTCCTCTGGTAGATCTAGCGATAAGCAAAATTAATTCCTTAGACTTTTCACGTTTGCGAAAGTTGGAGACACGACTCGCAGAGTCGTCGCAGGGAATGCAAAACGATGCAATAAAATTATTTCGACTAGAATAAAAAATAATTCAGACAAATTAATATTCAAGTAAGATGATGAAGACGGAAGAAGCGAGAGGAGCGGACAACTCGCAATGAAACTCCCATTTGCATTTTCATTAAATATAAGAAAAAAAAGATAAATAAACAAATATTCCCAGCATCGTTTCGCGCTCTCAGCTCGCACCCTACTCATTGTAAGCTCCGCTCGCGTGCGCGGGACCAACCTGAAGAGATTTTCTATATTGCTGCCGCCGCTCGCGAGCGAGGCGGACGTCGAGAGCGACTGCGGCGATCCCGAGGAGGAGGCTATGCTGCTGGACCCTATGCCGGCGATGCTGTGCCTCTGAACCGGGCCCGTGTGCGGCTGGTGGCGCGTTTTCCCCGGCGCCGCTGTGCCGGGTGCTGTGTTCAATCCGCGGAATTTAATCGCCTGCAGATAGATCACCAGGTCCGACAGTTCTTTGGCTATCTGGCTGCTTTGCTTCTGCGATTTGTCATCCACCGCCGGATCTGATTTTAATCGGCCATGCAGCGCTTGGCTGCCGCCCAGGTACCTCTCGTAGCTCGAGATCGAGTTGTCTGCAAAATTACGGCGCCATCTATAGTCGCGTGTCGCGACACGTCGCTTCGGCAAATTTTTCATCGTCGCAATTACGATTAATTATTTTTCTCCAACCAGGGCTTACCAGGGCGCTTAAGCGCGCGCGCGCGCGCGCGCGCGATAAACTCGGGAGAGATAAGCGGAGCAATTAAGCAGAACGGCTGCAGGATACACCATGCGATGCAACATGCGTACCGTATTTAGTTATTAAACCTGGGCTCAGGAGAGATTAAGGGGACGCGAGCTTCGATATCCTTCGGAAAAACACCGATCCCTCTAAATAAGCCGGTGTACTGCGCCGGCTAAGTTTCTTCTTCTTTTTCTTCGGCGCGGCTCGATATCGCGGCTCGCGCATGTCGTCCTTACCGTCGATATTGTCGTCCTCGTCGTCGTCTTCTTCGTCGTCCTCGTCCTCGCTGAAGTACTCGACGACCGACGTGCTGCTCACGTCGGTCCGCATTTGCTTCATCGAGGACGCGCGATCCGACATCAGCATCTTGCCGCGGTGGCTGAGGGACACGTGCGAAAGCGGTCCGGTAGGGTCGACCACCAGTTTCTTGTTCTTGATCAAGATCCGGTAACAGAGCTGCGACGGCGACGGCAGCTGCGGGTCGTCGCCGAAGTCGGTCTCGAAGAGGAATTTCGTCACCAATTTCTCGCCAAAAACGGACTGAAACGAAAGGGAGAGAGCGGGGTCGGTCGTGATTATGGACGCTTATGTGCGATGAGAATAACTAATGGCGCGAATAATGAAGCGCGATTGAGCGTAATTAACGTACCTGAAATATTTGAGCCATGCGTGCCTGCTGGCTCGGCGAGCAGTGATTCTCGATGGAAAGGATCACGGGATAGGGGGAACTGACGAACGCGCTTCGATCGATCGCTTCCACGACCGATCGGAACGGTATCTTGGTGGTGAATGTGTGGCCGTGATAGATCAGCGGGGATCCGTCGTCACCGTCCCAACAATCGAGCTCCACGCAGCGGCATCCGGTTAAGAGTACCTAAAAATATTGTGATTGTTCCAACTGCTGCACCTCCTTCTCGCTTTAATTGCGACTCAAGTTACTCGCGTTTCAAAAAGCTTCTCAGCCTCGGTGGAATCAAATCTTTCATCCACTGCGGACACTGAAAAGTGTCCAGTTTTGTCAACTTTCCAGCCAACTTTTTTAATTCTCAGTTCTCTCGTAAAAGTATCACGGAAAACTTTGCATTAATTTGGTTAGTTGGATAAGTTAGTTGGATAGGTTGGATAAGTTGGATAAGTCGCGCGCGCGTAATTAAATGCGACCATAACGGTTACAGTGGCAATTTGATAAAAATCCTAGGTAGGCTCGTGGATGAATCTATTTCTATTGTAAGAGCTACAGCCCACCTGTGAATACAGTTGCACCGAGGATTCCCCTTTGAGCTGATGCCCGGTCAAATAAGTGTTGTGCGAGCTGGCGATGTAATATTGCGACAGCGGCTGCTGCATCTCAGTCTCGAATGGTGTCGCGTACTCGTTCGGGAAGGCATAATTGTCCTTGTCCATCATATACCGCGCAAAACCCTCGAAAGACAAACACCACTGTGTGCGAAGCGCCGGGTCCGGTTCGTGCCTCTGAAATGAGAGTAAACAGGCTCGCTTGATTGTGTTACATCGCGTATAGTTCGTGCGTATCGCGATGCGGCGAGCGAGGAAGTTGGCCGGCCGGTATTCTGTGTCTCCGGGCAAAGGCAAATTGAAATCACGATTCACGAATCCCGAAAACGACGGAGAGAGTTCGTCGTGGAGAGTCGTCGAGGCGAGGCGGGCAAGAACCCGCCCGTCGTCTTTCTGCGAGAACATTTTGCTCGCGAGATTCCACGCAAGCACCTTAGTCCGCCCTTAATCCGCCACCTTAGTCCGCCCAATCTGTCTGTCTGTGATAAGGCTTACTGATTGCGCGTGAGCGAAAGCTCTCTCACGACAGCACGAAATACTCGGCACGTATCCTCTTTGTTACGCTGCGTGTTACATTTACCTTGATCAGCGCCTTGATGTTCTCGTCGCTGAGTTTCTCCTGCTGCCGGGACTCGAGGAATTTCGTGAACGTCGCCAAGGTGATCACTTGGGATTTCGACGTCTCCACGCCGGAGCAATTATCGACTATGCTCGATGCCGCGACAGCGTCGAAGATCTGCTTCTTCTGCAGATTCACGTTCGTCTTGTACTCGTTGCAGTCGATGGAGTTATTCCTCGTCAACAAGCCTGTGCCGTGTTCGAACGTTGGTCAGATAAAGTTCGCATGGACTGAGACCGTGATGCAATTTCGGTAAACTCGATGTTCTCGGTATCGTGATTCGCATCGATCTCGAAATTACATCGGTTCGCTTCGCTTTCGATTTACCGATTCTCTGCGGAGTGGCGTCGCTGGTCTGCCTCAGCACGGCTGGTCGCATGCTGAAGTCTCTCAATGAGCCGTCGCTCTGGCTACGACACGTGATCGCCAGCTGACCGAACAGCTCCTTCAGGTCTTTCCGGGCTCGCAAGCTGAACGAGCGGAAAAGCGCCACAAACTCCACAAAACTCAATTGTGTCTCGTACATGATCGAGGTGTGTTGCGCTTTCACCTGCCAAGGCGGCTCCGACACTCCCGGCATGCCACCCGCTCCGTTCTTGTCCTTCTCTCTGGCAACACATAACAGACTACGCGCGCGTTATCGCGCGAGATGAGCGCGACGATTCATTGTTCGTATTTGGACTCAACTCCGCGATCGAGTGATTTCTCTCGTTTCACCGATCGGGACTCGAGCAAATTTTCCTCCCAGCGGGAGGAACTCTCTTCTCAGAGAGTCTCGAGATGTGTAGGCAAGTGATGTACCTTTGAAAAGTGGAGTAAGGCAGATTGGAAGAGATGATACGTTCAGCCGAACCGGGCGGGCTACGGGGTGGGATTCGGTCTCTGCTCGCTCGCGGTGACACTGGTATGATCCTCGTGAGGGATTCTCGGCTACCGGCGATGTGACGAAGACTGGCTAGACCGTCCGAGGAGTCGTACTGCTTTTGACTCAGGTCCTACGTGAAAAGCGAGATCTCGTTCAATCGGGTGACGGGTGGACGCGTCATCTCCGAGCGCGCGCGCGCCAAAGTAAAGTAAAATAAAGCAGAGCATTCCCGGGGAGGAGGAGACTCGACTTGCAAAAGGGATTCGGGAGGCAGGTGTGTGTACGTGTGTGCGAACCTTGGCCAAAATGTGAATGTTGCCGATCGACTTGGTCTTTTTGCCTTTGACGTTCCGTCTGCGCAAGGTGCTGCTGCTCGTCGGCGACAACGTGCCGGCGCTTTCCGTCAGGGCCGACCAGTCGCGACCGCCGAACACGCGTATAGCGTCGGCCGTGATCGGGCTCGAGCCGTTCTCCTCGAAGTACAGCTGAAGATATTTGTCCTTCAGCCAGCGCGATCTACGATCCGTTAGCTGTTGCTGTCGTTTGAGGCCTCGCAATATCCAACACAGTCCCATATACCATATTCTGCAAGCGGAGCGACCCGCATATTACATAACTAATTTCGCGTAATCCGCAAACTCGGCGCGCGCGCGTTTTAACGATAATTCGCAAATTGAATTGTTGGAGCGGCGAGGTGTGCGTTATTATTAATAACGTTAATACACACCATACCTCTGGATAATGCAATATTAACGGATCATTGATACACCGCGAGTTTAGCCGGTTTACGATTTGCGGACTGTCGTTTGTTCCCTTTGACGACGCAGATTCGAGTTCAAACGGCGCACGGGCGCCGCGTTGAACAGTAAAATATCAAAAATACTCGCGGGCTAATCTCTCTAATTCGAATATGCGCCCCCCGAGGGGACTTTTCACCGTGCAAAAGGAGGAAATTGCAAAAAAAAGAAAAAGAATAGAAAAAGACGGAAGCGCAGCATATTTCCGAATCAGGGTGTTTCGAAGAATTGGATTGTTCTCGGAAAGAAATTGACGGAAAATTTCGGACAACGGGATGAAAGCCGGAAAATCACAGTTTGATCTCTAAATTAGATATTCTCCTTGTACACTAGGAAAAATGTATTGTTGCGTGAATCAAAATTTTGTTGTAACAACAAAATAATTTGGTTAAAATATGCCCAACAAAACTGTTTAGTTCCTGTAAACAAATATCCCGTTTGGTTACGGTTTGTTCGTATAACGTAATACTTTCGTTATAGCAACTAAAAAGTTTTAACTATATGAATTTTGTTAAAAATACTATAATTTTTTCTTAATACATAAAATCTAAATTTTAGTGCACGGAAAGACAAGATAGTATCCGTTGGGCATTATTTTAGTTTATGTAAAATAATATTTCGCTATTATGTAATTTTTATGGATAAAATAATGCTGAAATGCTTAATTTTTACATATGAAGTCTAAGAACAAAATCATTTGGTCCAGAGAACAAAGCAGAAAAATATATTTAACGTTGAGACAACTAAATATTTTGTTATATGAAACAAGATATTTGGTTGCTATTAAAAAATGCCTCAACTAAACAGTTTTATCAGAGATACGAGCATTTTTCTCTTTGTTCTCATCTTGTGGGACATTTCTTTCCGTTCGAGACGATTTTTACGTACTTGCTAAGGGCGGGCGGGCAAAGTAGGAAGATCAGTCGATTGTCCGGAAGGCTGGATCCATACATGAGGCCGATACAGGAGTCGGAGCCAGGTAGGCCGTATCTCTTGCAGATGCTCCTGAGATCGGCCTCTCGGTCGCGCTCGCAGCAGCCAATCATTATCTCCTTCACCGACCCCAGGTCCAGGTATCCCTCCTCCAAGGTGACGGAGGCGCAGTCAGCCTGCTGTTGCGTATACCTGCTGATTAGGCCCGCTGGTATCATGCTCTCCGGTTTCACGCTCAGCGAAAATTCCGTGACAGCGGCGCCGCCGATCTGCGCCGTCTTCAGGGGACTCCAGGTTGGCTTCTCCCATATGAAGGTGCCGCAGGCGCGGTCGACGCGAGCGAACACCAACGCCGTTCTCGAGGTGCCGCCCTCGTAGTCCCAGTGCACCAGAGTCGTGCCGTGATGCAGCATCTGAAACGATCCAGTTGAAAAATACCGATGAGTCGATCGTTCGTTGTTCATAAGTTCCTTCTGGAATAGTCTTGGGGCTTGTGTTTTATTTCCTCTACAATTTCCGTCTCGCTACGGCGAGATGTTTGCGATTTTGCGATTTTGTACGACGAGTGCGTCGTACTCGTTCCGAGAATTTAATTTGTAACTTTTTCAGCATGTTGAAGCTTCAGGAACTTTCCGCACAGATGATTTCCGAGACGAAAACTTTAATGTTTCTTTCTTTTTAATTTGTTGCAGGAACTTATCTCAGGAGCATCTGGCTAGAGCTACCTGGCTTCGATCCTCGTCCCGGTTATCACATATGGATTATACATATCCAGCTTTTCGTAATCGAGTAATCGAGTAATCCATTCCATTCGAGTGATCCATCCCCCCCCCGCCTTGCCCTTGGTGAGTGCGTGAAAAATTTGTTAACGCTCTACGTAATTTCGTTACAATCGATGGCGAAACGACTGTCGCACCTACTAGTTTAATATCCGGTTCGTAATCGAGTGAACGCGGAAAATTCGACTGTGTCAGTTCTGCGGCGCGGCGTGCACGTAAAAAGTTTCACACGTCCGCGTCGCGCGTGCCACATTTCCGTTGCTCGTTGGTGCAAAAAAAAAAAAGAGAGAGAGAACAAAAAAGAAGAGCGAATAAAAAGGTTATTGCATAAACGCAAGATGTAACACACGGCCTACATTTAATTTCGCTCAAAGCTTCGCTCCGCCGGTCTTCGTGCAAACGGTAGCAAACGGATTACCACCAAACCGTGTTATTTTCAAAAACAGCAAGCGCTCCCGTTGCAAATATAAATATATTAATTTCGCCGCGCGCGCGCGCGCGCTACTACCGAGGTCATTTTCGCAATTGCATTGCACTGAGCGTCGTGCCACGGCAAAGTACTGGCTGTCGTGAGTGCATTTATAACAGTGATGGGCCTCGTAATGCACTTATAACGGCGTTTATGCGGTCGACTCTGAGTGCAGCGTGTTGGGAGACACTTATTGCGCGTACGTTCATATATAGTATGCCGCGCATGCACGAGTATCCGTCGCGTATTCGAGACCGGAGTTATTCATCGACGGCACGACGGCAGTTACTTAAATTCACGGTGCCTCGTTGAATGGCATACGCGAGGAGGAGCACCCGCCGTTGTGTCGGCCAGAGTTCTCGAACAGAGATATATTAATATCGGCTACTAAGTACCGAAAACGAGCCATAATTTTATGGGTCGTTCGCGTAAGTAATCGCGCGTACGCGACGTGCGATTGGCAGAACTTCCAAGTTATCAGTTTCACGCGAAGCGTTAATTGCAAGAGGGAGATGTAAAGGCGAGACGAGATGTAAATTCGGACCGGTTGAGAATATTTTTATGAAGGTGAAGTATTTTTTTCTTTGGTCACAAAAATGCGCGATCGCTTGGGGAACGACCGAGTGGACTAGGAAAAATGTATTTTTGCGTGAACCAAAATTTTGTTGTAACAACAAGATAATTTGGTTAAAATATTTGGCCCAACAAAATTGTTCAGTTAGTAAACTGTAAACAAATATCTTGTTTGATTACGGTTTGTTCGTATAACTCGTATAATACTTTTGTTATAGCAACCAAAAAGCTTGAACTATATGAATTTTGTTAAAAGTACTATAATCTTTTTTTAATATATAAAATCTAAATTTTAGTGCACAGAAAGACAAGATAGTATCCACTGGGCATTATTTTAGTTTATGTAAAATAATGCCCAGTTTCGTTATTATGTAATTTTTATGAATAAAATAACTGAAATGCTTAATTTTTATATACGAAGTCTAAGAACAAAATCATTTGGCCCAGAGAACAAAGCAGAAAAATATATTTAATATTGAGACAACTAAATATTTTGTTATATAAAACAAGATATTTGCTTGCTATTAAAAAATGCCTCAACTAAACAATTTTGTTAGAGGTACTAAATTTTTTTTCCTAGTGTGGTCGTCACGTAGGAGGATAGAAATCATTTGTCGAAGCTCGTCGAAATGTCGTCGAGTTGCAATTTCTGATCGGTACAAGTGACTATAAATGAGCAAGCTGTAGTAATTTAATTAATTGATATCGGAATATCGGTCGTAACTGTCGTGCGCCTCGGCTCTTTCGAAGACACGTCGAACAGTCGATCGTCACTCAAGTTTCCCTCCGCGCGTTTGCACGACCGACACGCGCCGGCTCATTAAAAAGTATCGTCCTCGCTTGAACGTCGGGGGATTGCAATTTTTACGATGGCTTGTTAGAAAGCTGCCAAGCCAAGCGCCCAGCCGCGCCGCGCTTTAAAGTTTGACATTCGTCGTCCGATTTTACGACGCTTTTAAAGCGACGAGACCGCTCCTCGCGGGCATCGAGTGTCCCGGCGGTATTTAGCCATTCTTTTCGCTTATTCGCCGCTGCGCGCGCGCGCGCGCGCGATTCGAAGCTTGATTTTCGTTAAAGCGCACGGGGACGTCGCGGCAAATGAGGGCCCGTAAATACACGTGTTTACGAGCGAAAAGTGATCGCGATCGCTCGTCGATGCGATATTTCGTTCGCCGGTGTTATCGCTTAGTTGCGCGAAAGCACGGCGAAAGCTGTGCGTTTAGCTCGGCCGTATATCCGCATTTGCCAGACATTTATCGGCGTTCGATCAATTATTTTTATGAGCCAGCGTTATCCGCGCGTCGGAATCGAACCGAGGAGGACCCTGCCCTCTGCCCCCCCCCCTCTCCGCCTACTCGCGCGATATTCGCGATATTCCATCCGCGCTCGATACTGCCGATGGATCAGTTGCTACGCGCTTTCGCGGCCACGGAGAAGGGAATCCTGCGCACTGCGCGCCCAGGATCGTACTGATATTTCACGAAATATCACCGGCTGACGAATTTATCCATACGAGCCATTTCTTCTCCGCAAATACATCGTGTCCCATTTTTTCCCGCTGGCCACTCAATTAACGCTGACAATTGCTGGCTCGATTCAAAAGGATGACCTGGTTTTGCGCGGCGCGTTACAACACTTTTCCCGTAGGTCCCACTCCGTAGTTCGTTTGCCGCGGAGTTTTCCACCCCTCCCTGACCGACTGCCCGCCCTCCTGCCACTGCGCTCTCTGCCCACGTTTCCCTTTCTTTCTCCCTCTATCTGTCTCTCTCTCTCTCTCTCTCTCTCTCTCTCTCTCTCTCTCTTCCTTTCTCGCGCTCCCGCATATTTCTCTGTTTCCTCTCTAATTTCCGCGGGGCATGTCAGCGATATGGGCGTAAGGCTGGTCCCTTTGAAATCGCTTTTGACGCGCGGGACCTCTACGTGCCGACGGTATCTTTTATCTCTACGACGGCAGCGCCATGGAAGAAGATATTAATATTTTGAAATTGTCCGGGGGGAAGTATCCTCACGTCGATGTCGGTTTCTCAAACACCTTTTACAAGATGCCTTTTATCCCTTAATGAAGACCCGCGTGCGCGCGCGTTAATCTCGATATGCTAGTTATGCAAACGTGAATTATTTACCCTCTTCTATTCTGACAATACATGCATATACTTAGTCTTAAGGGATCGCGAAGATAGAAGGCGAATATCTTCCTTATATTTCCTTTTGCGATTCTCATGGCTTAAACGGACTGCGGACTGCGATCCAAGGATCGTAGCTATATCGTATCTTTCGTCGCCTTCTCCTATCTCCTATCCTGATATCTATGATATCAGAGAAGAAATGCGTAGCTGTTTCTTCAAATTTCAAAGATGCAATCTTCTCGGCCAAATAACAGTGGGGATTTTTGTCAAACGTTGTAGTCGTCGTGACGCAACGGCAAGAACGCGAAAAGAGAGAATTTGAATCATATTTTCAATTGGCTCTCCTTAACTTCATTCCCGTGCAGATAAGTCGTAAGCTGCAATTTTATCACTGCGAATTAAATTGTCTTTCGTCCGTACCGGTTTGTGCGATCTTTTCACGAAGAGCTGTCGTCATCATTTGAATGCGACGCTGCGAAATTTGTGACACACGGCGTGTTAAATTTATTTCCGGATTTGCTCTATCATTTGCATCGATCATTGCTACAGCGGACGCAAGTGTCGTATTTAAATAACTGGAAATGCTCTCGAGACATGAAAGATTCTTTTGACGTCGTCTTCCGCCTCGCTAGTACCTGAATTTTTGCCACTCGAGTGCTTCTTCTGTTATAATATATTAAATTCATATTCATGGAGTTACCAAGTCGGAGGTCGGAGGGAAAGTAGTATTCATTTCGGGTAGAATAAAAACGACTCGCGATTCCCACACTCTCTCTCTCTCTCTCTCTCTCTCTCTCTCTCTCTTTTCGGGTATAAATATTTCCATAGACGCAACGCGTATAATCGCTTTGCAACTCCTGGCTCATTAAAAGTCATTTTGTATAAAGTCTCATTAATTTATTTTTTTCGACTTGCTCATTAAATTTAGCTTGTTAACGTACAAAATTAATTTGATTGGAAATTACAGGATACAAGTATAACGGACGGCTTCCAAAAGCCCGAGACTTAACGGATAACGAAACTTTAATGATCGTTTAATTTCAAGTAAACTTTGACCCAACAGAAAATTTGATCCAATTTTGCATGACATCAGATATAAAAAATAAAGTAGAACGCGTTAAAAAGTAATTGTTTATCGAAAATTGTTTAAAAACACGTAAACGAAACCTGGTATTAACTGAAATTATCCGCTATATTTCACTCCACTCTGAAATCACGCAATTTCGCGCGATACGCTAATTCGTAACGCGACAATAATAGCCTTTGATGAGGTACTGCGTTTAGATACTCGGTTTACCGGCCGACGATTTTTGCATGATGCGTAATTTGCTAATGACGTGTCGAATAGAGAGTATCGTTATACATTACGATGATACAGATCTTGCAGGCAGACCACCGTCAATGTTGCGATACATTATTATTCAATTCTACTGTAGCCGTAACAGCACGTCAGGATCAAAAGCGTTCCGGCACCGCGCTGCATTGTGCAACAAATCCTGCGCGTCCAATATTTGCAATGCACTCCACGTGCAGTATCGCGATGTCACGTATACAATTCGCAGTTTCGTTGTATGATCCAGTGTCTCTCAGCTCCAAAACGATCATGACTACCTCAGACAATGCCTGTGTGTGTGTGTGTGTGTGTGTGTGTGCATTTCTGACGCGTAATCCGAATGCAATGTGAGGAGCAAATGTTGCTTTACCATAAAGCGAGAATTAAACGGATATTTGGAATCTTGATAATGCATTAATAATTATGACAAATTAAAGTAAACCGCAACATCGGGCATTTGCAGCTCGCGTTCTACGTTGATTATGAATTGCGGGGGAAATTGGGTTTAAAAGCTTTAGTAAGTCTTTGCTAGTAAGTAATAATTTTTTGTTTATCCGAATCGTGATACATAGAGAATGATTCGGCCAGTTTGTTGAAGCGCGATCAACTTGTCGTGTTAATTAAGCATATAAAGTTATTGCAGGTTCCAACTCGCAAGTTACAGCTCCAGATAAAATAGTCCAAGTTTGCTATAAAATATTACATAATATCTCCTATATGATACAGATGATTCAATCAGTATTCGAGTAAAATATTTCTTTTTTGCTATTCTACGTCGAAGAGGAGAGAGAGAGAGAGAGAGAGAGAGAGAGAGAGAGAAAGAGAGAGGAAGAAAGTTGCGGCTAGAAGATCGTAGAGAATTTCTTATCTGCGTCCAGGAGGAAGACCGTATACGGTAAAAGTTACTTGAACATACATTGATCGCGTAAGCGAGGCAGAAGCGTGAATATGCCTCGGTTGAAAGTGAAAGATATGCGATACGATTTTATATCGATACGATACCGACTCTGCCGCGTGAAACACACGTCTGCTGCTTGCAACGTACCTGCAGTAGGTGAAGATCCATGCCCGTGTGTGGCGCGGCGACAGGGAACAGAGTGACTGCATGATCGTACTTGATCGGCCGCACAGGCTTGTAGGAGTCCAAGTCGAAATGATAGTCGTTCTCGTCGCATTCTTCCGCCATGTAGGTTTGCTCGATCGCGGTGGTGTGGACGCTGAGAGTACAATGAAGGGACCCGGTAGTCGCGTCTCTGCCGCGGGCATGTCGATGCTGGGGACAAAAATGTTTCTCCTTCAATTAAATTATTCAGACGCGTTTCACGCTAGTCCGGCTAGTAGCCGGACCGAGAAGACTCGTTCGAACGCAGCGGAAGAGTGCAATCTCGTTGAGAAATGATAAAAAATATAAATCTCATCTTTATTATGGAAAATATAGATTTTATCTAAATCTTCTCATCTGGATCTAGATGCAAACGTAATCGTTTCGTACGACAGACGGAGCAGCACCGAACGGTGTCGCTCGTTTCTGTCACTTGCGAACAGTTCAACCAAATCATCGCGCGATTGTTCCCGCAAGAGATTATGAAATCCAAAAGCCTGCGCCTGTGTTCTCCCCCGATTACAAAATTCCGATTATTTAAAATCTGAATGTTCCGTATGACTGCATCTGCAGATGACAGTTCAATTTAAATTCGTATCTCGTAGTCACATTAATTGCTTCCTTTTGCATACACCTTTTGCGTTTCGAAGGGATTTTAAACAAAAGTGTCACTGTTGCGCAACAACAGTCGCCGCTCGGAGGCTCGCGTTCGTTACGTGTCACGCGTTGGTCGCACGTTGTCTCACCTTGTGGAAGAGTGCGATTTTGTCGAGAATGGAATTTGTGTCGTGCACGACGGGGTTCTCCGATTTGTTTAAGGAGCTGCTTCTCGAACTCCATTCCAACGGCGTCTCTGTGTTGCTCTCGATGGTGATCCTCGCGGTCGGCGCAGACGAAGGCACGTGTTCAAGAGGTTCGCTCTCCTTAACGCTACCACATGGCGGCTCGAGATCTTCCTCGGGCTGAGGCTGAAACATGCCGAGTCGACGATACTTCTTAGGAACTTCGATTCACATCGCGATTTTTGCCACGCCGAATTTATCGCTGTACGTGTGGCGTTCCACGGCGCGACGAGGGTGAGAAGCCGGCATTTCTCACGAGCTCACGCGAGATATTAGCGCCAAAAGTTTGAAAGAGAGGCGAGTCCGCCATTGGGAGGAGGGGGGGGGGGCAGAGGGCGGACAGATCAATGTAGAAAATGACGAAACTTTAGCAAGTTTCGAGCTGTCTCGACACAAGAGACATCTTTCCTTTGAAGATTTGTCGAAAGTAGAGAAATGTGAAATATCAGCAGTGCATTAGCAACGCGAACGGCGCATCCGCGCGGTCTGTGCGGAACGCCTCACACAAAGAGAAGAGAACAAACATCAAGCCGCATCGCGATAACGATAGTAATTTGTAAGAATTAGCGGATTAGCGGAGTTTCGGAAGGCTGAATCAGGCTGAAATATGAAATATGCCGCGCGCGTTTACATTTGACCGGTTATTTCTACGGGAATTTTTACCATTCTTCAAACGAATAACAGATTAGAATGTGTCATGCTCAAGATAAACGTGCCTCAGCCGCAACACGTCGCTCTAACGAATACATGTCTGCGCGGAACGGAAACGAGAAATAAACACGGAGCTTGAAATTACAATGCAGCGCCCGGTGGTGGTATGCTAAAGGCGTTCGGAAGTACCTTACGTTTTCACAGGTTATTCATTCGTGAACGTAAGTAAATATCTCGCGACAAACACAGGTGTATAAGGAGACGAGTGCGATGACGGTGCGGTGCGGATTTATTAGAACGTTTTTGTTTTCTTACCGCGACGTGTGCGAATGTCGTGTACGCGCGCTACGTTACGGCATCACACATCTGGGGCACGAATGAATTAAAATAAACGACGACGCGACTGACGCGCGTATGTAAATGAATCCGTAGCGTTGCTGGCGATGCCCATACCGAGCCGGGGATCCTGGAGAAAGATCGCAGTACGCTCTCCGTTTTGGGCATTTTCTCGAGGAGTAGACGTCGCTCGCGTCGAGACGCCGTTTATTTCGAGGATACGGATACTCGATAATCTCGGTAACGAAGCTCTCTTTGTCGCCGGAGAGGGAGAGAGCGGTGCTTTCGCAACAACGGGGATCGATAGTTTACGGTTTCTTCTCGAGGCGCACCCTCGAAATGTCGCGTGTTCGTCAACAGGAGCATTGGGTGGTCCTTTAGATCGCGACGAGTGCTAACATATAAAGTGCCCTTTCAGAAGTGTAAATCTCTTGACAACCTTGTAAACGTGAGTGGCACGGCAGACCCGAAAGAGAGAGATAGATAGAGAGAGAAAGAGAGAGAGAGAGAGAGAGAGGGAGAGAGAGGGAGAGAGAAGCGGTGGACTAGCCTTACTTTTAACCCTTCACGGAATTTCTCGAGCGAAAATGCAGTTTGCCTATGAAATTAACGAAAATTTGATTACATTCAGATATACCTCTCTCTCTCTCTCTCTCTCTCTCTCTTCAGTCTTTGTGAAAATATTTTCGTGTATTATATACTTAATCCAGGAGCCAGGAAATTTCTAAACGGAGAGCGGAAATATGTACCCCCTTTCTCTCTCTCTCTCTCTCTCTCTCTCTCTCTCTCTCTCTCTCTTTCTCGTTAACTAAAATCTCTTCTACTTAACAAACCGAGATTCTTAAGCCTGATATAAATTATACACACGAGTTCTCGACCGTGAATGCATTTGCCGATTCTCAAGCTCGCTTCTCCGTGCAACGCACGGGGCTCTCTCTTGGCGGCGAGAACTTTAATGCGGCTTATAATTAACCGTCAACCCGATAATCCTAATACATCGCACGAATATATCGAGCGATCGTTCCACGACGCCCCGTCATAAGATAATGCTGTTGCGCTCCATGTTGTGCCGCGTTACCCGCTGTTAATCGATCCGCATCGCCGTTAAGCCGCGCGGTCGAAATCGCAAACGTGCCGAAACCTGCGGGAGAGCACCGCTCCCGGTAGAATAATCCAGCTACGTCACGATCGTGCTGCGCATTTCGAGGGGAGAAGAGAATATATTTTATATCAATTCAAACGTAGCGCGCGCGCATATTGCTCGCTCGTTCGTCGTTTCGATCGGGAGGGAATCGATTCGCCACGCGGCTCCCTCGCGGATCGAACAGCCCAGCCGGACGTGAGGATTATCGTCTGAAGCGGCGCTCTCGGAATTAGCAGCGCGACTCTTCAACATCGGGTCTACGTCTTTCCCGCGTTATCCGCGAGCAAAACTTGTTTCGGGCGTTTGAACAACCCATTTGCCCGCGAGACATTACCGTTTGTACAGTATATGTTCTTTCTTTCTCTTCTCTCCTCTCTCTCTCTTTTTCCCCTCCCTCGACGTTATCCGCCGAATAATGATCCGCAGACGGAAAGTATGCCAACAGGGACGTTGTAACATCTAGTCTTTTAAAGATTAAAACCGGAGAGTACTCGCGGCGGACGTGATGTCGGACGAACGAGGCGACTTTCGTGGTGTCTGTTGCTCAACCTCGTTACCCCTCCGCGGAGGTATACACCACGGGGCGTACGTGCCGATGGAGCACCCGACACCCCGGGATAACAAAGCGACGCACACCGGCTTGGCGCACGTCCTGGCGTCGCGCCGTTGCCCGATTTGAAATTCCATCTGCAAGCCGCGACGTCCGTCGCGGATATGTTCGGTTAGGGGATTATCTCCCAGGGAGAGGCGGGAGAGAGCGAGAGAGAGAGAGAGAGAGAGAGAGGAAGGGGGAGCAGGTGAACGAGTTATGCCAACACCTGCTTCGTCTTCGATATTCTTGGGGCGAAACGTGTCGTTTGTCGTAATGTCACTCGATTCGCTGGAATTTAATCATCAATCAGCCGAGCGATGCTCTAATTGCGATTGCTTAAAGTATAACCGAGATGGTAAGACAAACATTCTCGATTAATAGCGTACGTCGGGCGTATATACAATTAAAAAATCGATTTAAAGTTTATCGAACGATTTGTCGCAGGTTGCAATTATTGTTCTCTATTTGTGTTTTATTTGTAATCTGGGTTTTAAACTAGTACGTCCGAGTTACTCTCGGCAGGGTCACACAATTTCGGACACTTTTATCAGAAGGAACCTCGTACTCGCTGGAAATTTCAACCAGCCGATCGTAGGTGGTATTGGACATCCACACGCGCACGCACACGCACGTCGGATTACTTGGAGAAAGATACGAGCAAGCGTTTCGCGGGCGCTTTATGTTCGATTATGTCCGCTTTACAACGACCTATCGTTTCATGTCGCGTGGCGTGTAAGGGTGGTTTGCTCGATCGACGCTTTCACCCGCTGCGATACGAGCGAAGCGACAGTGAAAACGAAACAATCATATTTAACGTGCGAGCTGGCCAAGGTGGCACGCACGACGAGAACATTGGTCGGCGTATAGTTAGATAAGGATTACGCTCTGATAAAAGGAACAAGCTCCATCCGCTCATTTGCGCAGACCTCGGAAAGTTCAGTTTACGCCACTTGTTTACGCTGTTTTCCGAAACAGGCGTTCCACGTCGCGACCTCGTAATACCGTCGCGCCCCCGCCGGCATCGAGCAGAGAGAGATAGAAGTCTAATTACAATCTCGCGGCGCCAGACGCGTGCTTGCTTTTAACGGCCGGCCGACTCCCCGGGCTCGTAGTTGCTTAAGTTTCATGGGCCACTCTCAGAACCGGTGATTTTCGTTGCGGGAGCTCGATGCGCCTCTTACCACCAAATAACGTGACGCTGTAAAAAGCGGAGACGCGGCTATTCCGTGTCCCTCCTCCCCGATGACGATCGTTAGCGACAAGAGCAAGTAGTTTCCGCCGGCCTACAACCATCGTAGCTGCTGGAGGCCGATAGAAACCCCTTTTCTTGTCGTTTTTACGCTGGAGTGTCGCCGTCGCCGTCGCCGTCGCCGTCGCAGCCGTTGCTCTCTCTTTCTTCTTCCGACGCTGCTGCTATTCTTCGTGGTAGCCCGTCCAAGAATTTCCTCGCGCAATCCTCGCGCGATAGCACTCGAAGTAATCCTCCTCGTAGCGCGCACCCGCCCCTCTCCTTCATGGCCGAGGGATTAACCTGTTTTCTCGCACCGGTACCGATAGCTTGATCTACCTAATTGCTCTATTAACGAGCTGTTATCACGAATTTACTAGAGACGACTCGATTTCCCCACGGGAGAAAAGGAAAGAGAGAGGGAGAGAGGGAGTAATACTCTAGACTCCGTGCGTCTCGCGACGCGACGCTCGCCATTATCCCGAGGAGTCATCTTGCCGAGCGAGATTTTCGCGAATTTAGATATGCACCCCCGAGCTCCGACACAAATTTTCCCGCTCGCTTTAATCTCTTATCGGTTCCTCCTCTCTGAGTGAATTCCGCGACAAAGTTCTCTCGCTATCTTTTAAGCAGTCAAGTGGTCCTTCCCGATAAGGGTCGGGGTAAATTTGCCGTGTCATTGACCGCCCCTCGTCCCGCGGAGCCAGTTGTGATGCGCCCGGCGGCGACACGACGACGCGGGGATTCATCGATGAACTTCTTTGGCCGCTTGCCAAATCGTATATAAATCCTTGCGCGAAAGCATTCAATCTCTTCCCTCCCCCCTCCTCTCTCTCTCTCTCTCTCTCTCTCTCTCTCGCGCGCGCGCGCGCCCTTTATTTCCTCTCGACTCGGCTCATTCATTTTTTCTCTGCATATCGTGTTCCACACGTTTGAACATTCGCTAGGGAAGACCGACTCACGCTTGATGAAGTTGAGTCCGCACGTCCTCTATCTGGACAAGCAGTCTTCTGCTCGACGACTATGCGCGAGTGCGCTCGAGAACCTGGTAGTCTCGTCTTGCGCCGTCGGAGAACGTGATCTTCATGGCAGACGTATATAATACCCGAAATTATCCGCTAAGTCTCCGAACAACGAGAGAGAGAGAGAGAGAGGGAGAGAGAGAATGCAAAGGGATTCTCGGCGGGTGTGCAACATTTAAGCGGGCAAATTTAAGCGGGATCGTCGCGTCGATTCGCTTAACGTGCACACACGCACAACACACGCGATTCTACTACGTGCAAACGCTGCGCTGCGTGTGACGCGGCACGATTTACAAATGCGGGTGCAAATATCAATAGCGTGAAACGAGCATTTACCTCCGTTTCGTGCAGGATAAGGCTTCGTATCTCGCGCAGGAAGGCCCCGAAGAACGGCACCACCGGACATTCCGGCATTGCGAGGGCGCGAGCAAGCGCAAGCTCATATTCGCAAGACAGGAGGTCTTTGGAGAGATTATCCAGAAGTATGGGCTCTCTCACGATGTTCCAAAACGGGTTCACCTTGTTGGACCTGCAACACAATTGGCATTCACTTGCGATTAGACGGCGAGGCAATCTTCTTGCGGGTGCAAGAATGGGGGGAGGGTCGAGCTAATCCGCTGCAACGATTTGTGTGTACATTAATCTCTAAACAATAAGCGCCGCTGTAGCCATTGTGGCCATTGTGGTAAGTGACAATAATCGCGACGACGCGAATTCGGCGCGATCGGCCGTGCTTTCTTCGAATCGACCGCGCGGTTGCCGAAGCCAACCGCGTAAACTGTTTAGAGGATGAGCGTAGATCAAAAGATTACAGGGTGACTTAGATGGGATTTGGCGTACTCTAAGTAATACTCAATTCGTATAATACCCGCTAATTCCTACTAATACCCCAATCTAATGCATCAACATTACGCAGCGGTTTACCCCTCGGCGCGGCATCATCAAGCTCCGTTGTTGTTATTAGTAAGCTGCAGCGGCTGCCGCGACTGCAGCACCATTAAGAACATTAATTGCTTTGAATGATGGAATTGAAGGGAAAATTGCCGAGGGCGGAAAGTAAAAACAGCTCGCGGTGAACGTTGCACGGGGATTTCCTCGAATTAAACACGCAGATGAATATACGCCCGGGCGATCAGCCCGTGTTTTAAAAAGCGGGACAACGGCGAGTTTTCCGCCGACAACAACGGCTCAGCATCGGAAGTGTAGGAAGCGCAATTTAATTACAACAATTTACATTCGCGCGACTAAAAATTCGGCGCAACGCAATTGTCGCCCGGCGCGGCGCGTCCGTACGACCGGAGTCAGCTGGAGCTCCGGAGCGAGCTGCGCGTTACCTCCTGCAGTTTCGCGCACCGGCGCTCGTTAAAATCACAAAACGTTTACTATTACGGCGGTTCATTATCTCCCCACTTGAAACATCCTCCGCGGCGTGGCCAGTTAACTCCATATGCACGTACGGTTGGGAACGTTTCCGGCTGGGACAGCCGGCGCGGCAAGCCGGTCGCGTTTTGAAACGATACCCCCGCTCGAAACTTTTATCCTCTCATTCGCGGGACGAGCATATGTGTGTAACTTTATAGTCCTAGCGCAAGAAAGTATTTCCACCGGCTCCCAGGTTTCCGGCTTCCGGCGGGAACGAACGTAAAACTCAAGGCGGAAGTTGCTCGGTGTCGCGGACGCGAACAGCCACGCTTAATGAGCGCCCTTATCCGCGGGCAAAGGTCGAGGCGATGACCGCGAACGACCGGCCGTCGTAAACTGCCACTCATAGCGCGCGCGGGCGTAGCGTCGACCCCTAGACGTATCTGTTGTCGGGCGTTATTGCGCTCATCGATGCAATTTCCTGCGCAGCTTCCGAGTCCGGCGATCGGACGAACGACATTTATGACGTTTCGGTCAGGCTCGGTGACCGCCGCCGCGGTATCGATGAGTACGGTAGATTTTATTTGCGCCGTTATACGCCGCGTACTCGAGTCCGGCGAGGATACCGCGACGAGGATCATTACTTATGGCGATGATTGATCGATGACGTAGGGCGCTCGAGTCTCGGAAAGTCTGTCGAGGCGGAAGTGGAGTTCGATTTCCCCCCCTCTCGGACCCCGTATATTCCTCTTCGTGATGTTTCCCGGCCGCGTTTAGTCCTGCACGTGGAGCGCTGATCAAGGTCTAAAGAGAGAGAATCTGCGCCCGAGTGGATCTTTTCTCTCTCTCTCTCTCTCTCTCTCTCTGCTTTTCTCCCTCCCTCGATCTCTTTCCCTCGTACTTTTCAACTTGGCGACAAACCCTTTAATAAAGTATTCTCCTTTGGATGTCTGGCAGATTACAAAGAGCCCGTCCCTCACGCTGCGATCCAGCCGAGTATTTTTCTCGCGAGGCACAAATAACGATATCAAGCCAATCAGCGTCAGTTATTTTCCAGGCGGATGGAGTCCGGATAGGCCACGTGTTTCTGCCCTCGCGTGCATTCGTCGTGGACGGCCGTAATGAAAATTCAAATTAAAGCGATAAAACTCGAACGGCGAACCTATCGTTTCTGTTCGGCTGGGCGGATTTACAAGCGAGCGGGAGCGCTCAATGAAAATCGCGCCACTTTGATGCCGGCGAATGTCAAATACGTAACTTAAAATACGATGTTTAATCAAATTTCTCGAGTCGCAAACTCCTTTCAAAGCCGCGTCGGGGCACGGAACGCTCTTGAAAACTTCGCGAGCCGCTCTTTGAGACTTTAAAAGTCCATCGTGTAGATATCACTTTGTACTCTTTTTTTCCTCCTTTTTCTCCTCTTCTCTCTCTCTCTCTCTCTCTCTCTCTCTCAGCGCTCTCTCACACTCGGCGAAAATTAATTATCAAACGAGCAGGGAATGACTTTACGGGCGAATAGCGCGAGTTGACACATTCACTGGGAATTACGTGAACTACTTCGACGAGAGAGATCATGCCGCGCGCGTCGCTTGATCGGGACGACAAAATTGGCAGTCCCGAAAGAAGCCACTTTGCGAAATAATGCAATTACGGCGTCGAATCGTTTGGAGAAATGCTTTCGGCTGGAGCATCGAGCCGAGCGACATTCGCGGAATGACTCACACGTGTCGCCTCACGTCCGATAAAACTTTCACGAAATACTCCCAATAAAGTGAACTGCCGCAAGGAGGCACTCTCTACTGCGATAAGACACGGGATCCTGGGCTGCGGATCCTGGGAAATGTGTATCTGCGCGTCTAATAAAATACGAGTCCCGAGCCGCGCGTCCTCGCGAGAAAAAAATGACGCGTCCCCTCCGCAATTATCCCTGTAACTGCACTTTGTCATCTACAGCATGTTCCACAAGTTCATCGATCTTCCATTCAGCTCTTCTCTCATTTCCCGACGAATTTCTCAGATGGAGGACCTTTCTTTAACGGCCACCTCATCGTTTGAAATTAACTCCCCCGGTCATCGGTAGTGAAATACCGTGCATTCTTACTTCGCACTGAATTGTCCCATCACGTTGAAGTTCACGGCCTGAAGTTGATCATTAATTTCACCGGTAAATTCATGGGACAGATTAATCCGTATAATTGCGACAGATTGCCGGTATTCGCGGGCGAATCGACTGCTTTCACGATTAGCGTGTGACAAATGCGTTTCTTCTTCTGCCGTTTCATGGTGATGCAGTTACTATTATTCTCAAGATAAGGCACGTAAGGTGCGCGAGATAGGAGAACGAAGGAGCAGAAGCATGCCCGGGAGCAAGTCGTTACCCCGTAACATTTATGCTCCCGCCGCCGCCGCCGCCGCCGCCGTAAAGAGACTCTGGCATAAGTATTTCAATCATCTTGCAAGCATTCTCCGCTTTACCGTTTGAAATCTAAACTCCGCCGCGCGACGATACTTATTGAGGACGAGTTACGCGAGTTACGTGATCATTATTGGCCGTCCGAGGCCGCGTCTGATATCGCGGGTAATTAATGCGATCTTGTCACGTTGATTTTTAAGTAACGTACACAAGTAGCGGATTCCCTCCGGTCGCTCGAGGTTTAACATTTGAATAGCTACGCTACGAGAGACGCTCGAGATCGATACAATTTCGTTAATTGCAGCTTTCGATGAAGCGCGACACCGCGAGGCAAAGTGTATTCTCCCGCGTTCCCAACAGCGCCGAGAGAGAGAGAGAGAGAGAGAGAGAGAGAGAGAGAGCATTGAAATGATTGTAATTTTAATTTCTGATCAGAGAGGCAGCACGCCTCTGATCTAAACGACGTTTACGACTCTCACGCGGGAAACGACGCGATATTTCACGAGAGGATTCCGACGAGGAAGCATTTAGAGAATAGCGAAGGCAATTAGGGGACGAGTATTCGAATTTTTCGCAAGTCGCCGATTCCGCGCGCGGACCGCCGTTTGAGGCACGTTTATTCGAGCCTAATCATCGTCTTTTGAGACGGCGAGGCGAATACATCTCCAGCGGAAGCCGGTAAGTCAAATCGTGACTGCCGTGGGCGGTCGATCGGTCGGCAGCCAGAGCGGACAAAGAATCTTTGATCGCCCACTCGTCGGTGATTCCGGATACATGGCCGCCAAAACGTCAAAGATCCCGGACGCTCCGGAGTGAGCGCGCCGTTATTTTCTAGGGATTTAAATTCCCGTCGTCAAAATTGGATCCCGCGTCGGGTTTGACGCAGAAAGAGAGAGAGAGAGAGAGAGAGAGAGAGAGAGAGGGGGGGAGAGAGAGAGAGAGAGAGAGAGAGAGAGAGAGAGAGAGAGAGAGAGAGAGAGGGAGAGAGAGAGAGAGGTCATACCCGAGGAGCTCGTTGAGGTACTTGTTGAATGGTCTTTGATTTCGATATCGAGGAGGAGGTCCGAATGCGGATCGCGGATCGCTCGCGCATTGAACTTCGCATCCGAACAAGTGCACTCGTGTAATCGCATCGAGTACATTTTGAGCGGATTCCGTCCGGCGATATCGCCAAGATTTTGCCGATGAAAGTTCGAGACTTCATCATACTCGGCGCGGCGGCTAACTTGGCTCGCCGGCGTCTTATTTACGTTATCGTTACGTCAGGATACTTGTCTCTCTTGAGAAAGAAAACGTACTTCGAACGAGCTTGCACTGAGTGTCACCGACACCGATATCGGTGTGTGCATCCGGACTGATAATCCGGGTAGGGAAACGCGGTCAGATGTAAAGCGAAGAGTGCTTCTTCGTTAAAACGCCAAGGTTTCGCGCGAATATCGCATTAAGAGGAGAATATTTTGCTCCAACTCCCGTAGGCGGGCGGAGTGTTTCGCTCGGATAATAGTACTCCATAATTCTTGTCCGCGGCGGGGTTAATCCACTTCGAGTGCACTCCTAACGAATCTCGTCCGACTTCGCTGGCTAATAGTCACGAAGAGGGGACTAAACAGGGCACTAAACGCAAAGTTCTTTTGACTGCCACGGCTTGTGGGCGACTCGAGATGTTCTTGAAATTAAAGATTCGTCGTTCCCCGCGATCGCCGCGAGGACCTGCTTTCGAAGGCTCACAGCGCCGGGAGAGCTGAGATACGCATTTACGTTAAGAATCCGAGCAAACCGGCGGACCATTGTTTCAGCGAACAACAGACGCGCCCTCAAGGCCTCCTCGTCGCGCGAGATGGAGATTAATTGAACGGGAACGCGACTTTGAAAGCCGCAACGTCATGTGACACGTTCGGAAAGTTTCGGCAGGGAGCTTTGAGTTTGAACCAACACCGCGGCCTCGTTGGGAGAGGATTGTACGCTTTACAGATCTTATTCATTATTCCCAATGTTCAATATCCCAAGTATTCTCGCGATTCGCCAAACATTTCCGCTCCCTCTCGCGCAAGATTCGTGTGTGCGAATTAAGAATTCGCAAGACGGATCTTCTTCCGCGTCTTGCCGTCGCGGCTAATTATTGAGAGCGTAATTTCCACGTCCCGACTGAGTTATTGGCGATGATTAATTGAGGGCGAATCTCTCTCGCTCGTTTTGAGACTCCCACACAAGGCGCTGAGATCTCGCCAAGATCGTACACTGAGAGAAAGATATATGATATTTGGAACTGTAATGATATAGTAACTAGGCGTAGCATAATCAACCATATAATATTTTTATTAAGAATTATAGTAAGTTAAACTAAAATTATTGTATGGATACAAATCCATAAAATGGTAAGTAAAGTAACCCTTTTATGTAGTCAATATTACCAGAACATTTGCCAAATGATGACAGATGTAACTATATGAATATTAAATCTCACTATATGTATTTAATATTTGTAATATTTGTGAGAATGAGAAATTACCATATATGTGGTGGAAGTAACTAAACAATTATTTCCGACAATCATTGGCTATAATACGAGTATTTGTGTTTATTCTACTCTATATATTTTGCAGGTTCCACGAACTATAAAAATATGGTTGACGCCAAGATGAGCTATAAAATATATTGAGATTATAGTTAATTCAATTATATATTTTTCTATCAGTGTACGGCGGAAAATCGTCCGACGACGACGACGACGACGACGACGCGCTGCTGACGCTCGTGTCGCCGAATCCTCCGGCGGCATTGGCCGCGTGAATCCGATAAATCAACCGCGATCGCAATCGTGATAGCGCGCGATTATAGTCACACGCGATAGTCACTTGGCGATGGTCGAGTTCCTGATCCGATCGAAACTCCAGGCTGATGGAGGATGCGTGCCGCGCTCGTCTTTCGTAATGATCTATTGGCGCCGACAGCAAGTTTGGCCGGCACGGCGGTTAGATGTTTACCTTACTGGATGAAGATGGATGGGCGCTACCGTGATGCTCTACCTTGGACCCGTGAAATTACATCACGGCTTCCGTACTTAGTCGCGGCACAAAGCGCTCATCTCCCGACTCGCGGCGCGGGCCGCGCCGGCGAACAACGAGATGAATTCCCGCGTCCGCGGGAACGAGCTAGCGAATCAAAGCCTGATCTTTTAAGTGAAGCTCTTTAACGGCGACGACGTTCGCCGAGCGACGGGTATTATGTGCGCACTTACTTGAGACCGGCGATTATCTCCATGGTTGAATTAAAGTTCCCGGTGTTCCAACAGGTTTGCGCGACGCGTAGAAGACAGGATAGCACCGCCTGCCGTTCCTCTATCGTGGTGGTATCGTTGGTGACCGCGTTGGTGACCCATGAGCTCACCTGGTTGACAAACGTAACTGGCGATTAAGCGCTCGTTCGCACTTCTTCGTTCGTGTTGCTGACAATCGAGTGACATCGCCCGACAGTCGAGTTCGAACGCGACCGGCAATTGCCAAATTAATCGCACAATTGATCCCGCTGATGAAACAAGGCTCGTCCCATCTTGCCGCTTTAATGCGGAAACAAATCGATAACAGGCGTAATTCGGGAAGTTGGGAAGCCGCGTTAACGTAAACGGCTTCGTTCGACTGTCGCGGCAGCGTGAAAATGACTTCAGCACCTCAGGGAGGTGAGAGGTGTATTAACTCGGTTTCGTTACATCGATAATGCGCCGAACGACGACGAAGCACCGTCGTCGATCCCCCCGAGGTTTCGCACGAACGGCGGAACGAAAGTTGTCGCTCTGCCGGGAAAATCGGGGAGCGTTGCGAGTTCTCCGGAATTTTCGGAACGACGATTCTCTTTCTCTGTCCCGGGGCTTTTGTCTGGCACGCTGGCGAAGAGAGCGAGAGGTGGAAAGCGAAGGGACGAGGGGAGGAGGGTGCGGCGGCGCCCAGCGTTTTCAACCTTGGGCGAGGATTTAGAGTGGGAAATGGCAATGGGGAGGCAGTGAGCGAGGTCAGGTGATGTCCGTGTAGCCGCACGCACGTCGTGTGCCGCTCGGGTGCCGGTGGGTGAAAGTGTCGGGCGAAAACGTATGCGGAAAGCCACCGAAGTAGTAGTGGATACCTCATTAAAAGCGGCTGATGAGACCGAGGCTCGTAGTTCCTTGGCGTCGCAGTCCGCCCTCCTCTAACGCTACTTTCGCGTTTAACGGGGCTGCGCGCGTAGAGATCTTTACGAACAATTCAGAAGCGATACTTTCGCAGCTGGGCGTTCGACTCGTTCGACAACGCGTCTCGACCGTTTTGTCGGCGATAGGAAAAAACTTTAAATTATGCCCAGCCGTAAAAATATCGGCTTTGAATTTCTCGCAAAATCCCTGCGAACTTGCCGGAGACAACCTAGCGCTCGCATTGCGAGATCAACGAGCGAACGAGTTTCCACACCGGTTTCCGCACCGTGGCGCTCTTCGTAACGCGAACGCGAACGCGAACGCGATTCGCGTCTATCTGGCTTTAAGAATCACAAACGGCACCTTGCCGAGCGTCGGAAGCGTCTCGCGCGTGGCCGACGTACCTCATTAAAACGATCGACGAGGGTCTGCACGTCCAAGAACACCGTGCCGACAGGCCAAGAGGATTCGTCCTCGGTCTGGGTCGAGCTGTTGGCGGTGCTGGGGTTGCTGCAGCTCGGGGCTCGCCTGGCAGATAATTTCTGCAACGTGGCCTGATCCTGCGCCACGTGCTTTGGGTACTCGTGCGGTGGTACCTGGTAGAACAGCTGGTACTCGCTCTCCGTCAACCTGAGCGCCACCTCCTCGGGGAAGTGCAGCAGCTTGTGCAGATCCTCCAGCTCCTCAGAGCTCCGAGGCGGCTGCGGCTCCGGCCCCTTCTCCAGCTCTGAAATCACCGTCACATTTCGCCGTCTGTGTTTTTCTTGCGTACAAGAACGCGACGTGAAGTACGATCCCGACTAGAAATTTATCCCATGGTCCTGATCAGGTTAACCTCATTTGGACATCAGGTCCCAATAAGGTAATACTAGTGACGCATCATCATGTAACGCAGCGTGGATATCAGGATCTTAGTAAGGATTCATGGTCAGGTCCTTACTGAGTTATCTTATGGAATCCTTATTACGTTTTTTCTTTTCAAATTATGGCTCTTGATTACTCGCCACGGCTATATCGGATGATGACATTAGAAATAAGAAATGACACGCTGAGAATTTTTTCATGTCATTTCCAAATAAAAAGATACTTGCATAAAATAATATTTTAGATCGCTCGAGCATACTTGTAAAATGTTTCGGAAAAGAAACATAAAATAAAATGAATATCACAAGGTGACAGGACATAAAGTAGTGTTAAAGAGAAAAGTTGCATGTCATGTCAATTTTCCAACTATTTATTGATTGCTAAAAAAAGGATAGTTTCTGTAGCATTTTACAAATATATTCAAGTGATTTGACGTGTTTTTTCAATGCAATGCATATCTTTATATTTGGAAATGACACTCAAAAATTGTTTCGTTAAAACTTGACAATGCAAATCATATTAAGTACAATGAATAAGATCCCGACAAGGACCTGATTAATTGAACCATATTATATCACACACTAGGTTGGTACATTAATGTCCTAATGTGGACCCAATCATTATAACCTTATAAAAGTCTTTCTTACTCATTTGTCGTTAGGACATTATAAGGACTGACTGACTCACTTAGGATTACCTTTCATTCTCTCTATTAGGTCCTTATCAATCTTAGATGAACCTGATCCAAATTTTTAGTCGGGATTTTGCGGCGACTCGACGGCGAGAAGACAAGTTATTTTACGGTATAATGTCTTTCCCGTCGTTCCGGGCGCCGGGTTGCCCCGAAACCGACGCTTTCAAATGCGACGGCGTTAGAAGCGTCGTTGAATCGAGATCGGATGGGATAGTTTAGCTCCGATGTGTGGCGATGGCGCGCGCGCGCGCGTAGTCGCGCAGAAAAGATAGAAACGCCCGGAAATCATGTTTTATTGAAAAGTGCCGTGCAGCAGGAAGCGCAGAGGTTTGCGCGCGTGAGCTCCTCTAGAAGGGTGTCGTCAATAATTCCATTGTATACGAGATATTGCGCGGCATCCGCGCTGTCATACAATCGTCCCGAAAGCGATCACACCTTACGATAACGAGCTGTGTGCGATTGATTTAGCCATGGGACATCGCTTCGGTATCGAAACGGAAAAATCCCATTCGTTTTGATTAACGTAATTTTCCGATATTAAACATCGTCGGGAAATTGATAACGGCCGGCTTGCGTGCCGGCGGTACGTGTCGGGATTTCAGAGCGGCGCGATTCGACTCCGCATCATCGATATTTACGAGAGCGTGTATTTTGCAGGAAAAATAATACCGCCACTCTCTTTTATATTTGAATACGGCGACTATTATTTACATAATTATTTTCCGCCCGCTCGCCTCGGAATTTGTGAAACGGGCGTCTGTAAAATCAGGTCACGCTTAATGAACTACGATAATCTTCGTGTGCGATTACATTTAAACCCGGTATCAGTGATATTTATTAAATCGCCCGATTATATCATAATTCGAGTATGTGCGAATCCATAAATGAAGTTTACAGTTGATTAACGATGAATATTTCATTCGGTTTATTTCGCATTCGGCAACTCTGCAGCGCGGCTGCAGTGATCGGCGTTTCGAGCGTAGCAACTTGCGAAAGAAATACGCAGCGCGATTTTTCTTTTTTACCCGTCGTTTAACATTTGCCGCGCGGAAAGGTCAGGCCGGCGATGCTTTTTCGTCGGTGCGAGCGATGCGCGGAGTTCAACGCGATCGACGAATAAAAGCATCCTTTAGGTCTTCGATGAATAATTCCGCGCTGCGGATATCGAGCTCTCTGTCGTTGATGCCGCGAAATAAAAACAGAGTTTGTGATATTTTAAATTGCGACGCCGGCCGGCTACGTGACAAACTAACGGCCCGCCGCGGGGCAAAAAGACCGGGCAAAAAGAGCCGTACACGTTTGCGTAATCGGGCAAGTCCGCGAATTGGAGTTCCAAAGACACTGCGGAGTACATCCGCTATTAGCAGATGTCTCAGACCGTCGAAATACTAGAAACGGAGGAAAAAGGGAAGAGGAGCGAGCAAATGGACGGCGAGCAACTCGCGGAGAAACGCATTTCTTTAAACGCGATGCGCTCTCCTATTTCAGCGATAACAAAAACATAATACCCACAGTTTACGTCACCGTTAGCGCGAAAGTGTGAAGCGAGAGTTTTAAGAGACGTGCGTAAAGCCGCTGGCAGCAATTTTTAACCTGACCCAGTTCCCTTCAGAACGATTAAGAACGCTGCGTCTCGTTAGAGCCGAGTACCGGCATAATGCGTGCTTATGAGACGGTGCTAAATTATGCGAGTGCATTCATTCGCAGCGACATCAGTGTGCCACGGAGTAATCCGAGGTATCTCGAATATTGCCCCAGAGCCCCCGCCTCCCCGCGCACGTGTGCACGCGTGCTCTCTGAATAATACTCGCAGTCTTGAGTGATATTACGCGTGTGTGTATATTTTTGTGCCGCGACCGCTGGTTATTCCCGCGCGTGGGGGATGTTCCCGAGTAGAAATTTTTGATCAGGTTCACCCAACATTGATAAGGACCTAATAGGGTGAAGGAAAGGTAATCCTAAGTAAGTCAGTCCTTATAACGTCCTAACGACAAATGAGTGCGAAGACAAATGAAAGGAAGACCTTTAAAAGGTTATAACGATTGGGTCCACAGTAGGACCTTAATGTACCAACTTAGTATATGATATAATATGGTTCAGTTAATCAGGTCCTTGTCGGGATCTTATTCATCGTACCTAATATGATTTGCATCATCAAGTATTCACAAAACAATTTTTGGGTGTCATTTCGAAATATAAAGATGTACATTGCATTGAAAAAACACTTTAGATCACTTGAATATATTTGTAAAATGCTATAGAAATTATCCTTTTTTTTGACAGTTAGTAAATAGTTGGGAAATTAACGTGACATGCAACTTTTCTCTTTAACACTACTTTATGTCTTGTCGCCTTGTGATACTTTATGTATCTTACGATATTCATTTTATGTTTCTCTTTCGAAACATTTTGCAAGTATGCTCAAGCGATCTAAAATATTATTTCATGCAAATATCTTTTTATTTGGAAATGACATGAAAGAATTTGCAGCGTGTCATTTCTTATTTCTAATGTCATCATCCAAAATAGCCGTGGCGAATAATCAGGAGTCATAATTTGAAAAAAAAAAAAACGTAATAAGGATTCCATAAGATAACTTAATAAGGACCTGACTATGAATCCTTACTAAGGTCCTGATATCCAACGCTACGTTACATGACTTACTAGGACCCGATAGCCCGAGGGCAGTCTGAAAAGTTCTCGGACTAACGAAAGAAAATTTTTTTTGCCGTGAAATATTATTTTTTATTATAATTTTTTATAATTATAATTTTATTTTTCAATATAATCTCCTGAAACTTCAATACATTTATTCCAACGTTTTTCCAATTTTTGCTTTTTTCAATACCATCATTAAAGTGTGATTCCGGAAGGGTCTTTTTGCTTTGGTGTATAGTGGTGGATCCAAGTTTCGTCAACAGTTATGAAACGACGCTTGAAATCCATTTTATTTTGCTTAAAACGATCCAAACGCGCTTGAGAAATACGCATTCGAATGCGTTTTTGATCAATTGTTAGCAAATGCGGCATCCATTTTGCACAAAGCTTTTTCAACTGGTGCTACTACTCGAATTACTCGACAGATCGAATAAAATTTTACATGGGTTTATATCAGGGATGCCACTTTCCAATACAATTATAGTATTTGACAGTTTCTAATGCCATGTATGTGTCAGATCGAGAACTCTTCAGACTGCCTACGTATTACCTTATTGGGACCTGATGTCCAAATGAAATTAACCCGATCAGCACCATGGAATAAATTTCTATTCGGGTTGTTTCGCACGACATGATTCCGGCGGAATTTCACGAGAGACTTTTTGCTTTATCCCCGACGCACGCGCGCGCGGTCGCAAAATTGCGCAAATATTTCCTAATAATTTTATCCACGGGTGTGCGTCTGCTCGACATGCCGCCGGTAACAATCGCTGCGCGATGATACATTTCGCGATCGAGTTGAGGAGGGAATCCCAGTTGGAAAACTCGGGAACACGGAACGCTCCGTGATCGACGTTTCATGCGATTATCCCGCAGCGCGGGGGCTAACGAGATTGTCTGCCGATCCGTTCCTTTCGTTTCGTTTCGAAGGAACGGATCAAACCGTCGGATTTCGCAGAGTGCAGACTCGCGCGCACTCCTCCTCGGCAAGGTGTGCGCGCAGCCCGCAATGGTATCCGCAATTACCCTCGCGCGCGCTTGCGGAGCATACACTCGCTCGCCTCGCCCGGGGCTGAATAAGTAGGGCGTCGAGCGACTTCGCGAACTGGCGAACCCGCCGCCGCAGGATGCAATCGCGAGCGAGCGATGTTTGACTCGGGCGTGCATCTTAAACGGAGCAACAGGGCCGCCGCGCGGTGCCGCGCGATACGGGCTTTTATTGCCCGCGTTGCTCTTGCGCAAGTGAATTATCGCGCGATATCGTCGGACGGACTGGCCGCGGCTGTGTGTACGAGCCGAGCGTGCGCACCCATCTCGTCCATCAACGTCTTCGGGCGAACGCTCCGTTAAGGATCCAAAGCCCGGGCGCAAACACACCCCGAGTGTGGACAGAGCAGCGGACGGGGTCAGTCGTCGCGTCGCGCCGTGGCATACGTCCCGACGTCCTCACGGCCGATCGGCCGGCCATATCAGATAGCGCGGCACGATAACCCGATGAAGAGATTAATCAACACGCCGGATTAAGAACACAAATGGCCGCCGCTATCATTATCATAGCGCCTGCGAGCCGAGCGAGCGCTCCTTCCGGGGAGCTTTTCACAGGTCAGTCGGCGCGTTCGCACGCGCATTCCGGCGAATTCAGCAACGCGAGACCGGCGAGACGTAATTTCTACCATGCGTATTCCCATGGGATCCCTTAGGCCGAGGGGGTCCGTTTTCGTCTCGATTCACTTGATTTTTCGTCTCGTCCGTAGCGCTCGGTTGCGAAAATTTCGATTTCCGCCTCCTGAATGCGCACGACGCGACGACGAATGCGCCGATTCGCGATACACGGCCAAATGCCGGACTCTCAAAGAAGGCTCTCTCTCTCTCTCGCTCTTAGGGAGGCTCGCTTTTAACGACTTGGTCAGTGGGTCGCGGCGAAATTTACGCATGAGATCCCTCACGTTACCGAAGCTGCAATACACGGCCACTTTGCCGGGGTTTTATATTTATGCTTATTACAAAGTGGGTAACGTCAAAGTCACGCTTAATTAACCTTCAGAGGGCCGAGAAACCACTATAGTGGTGGTAGACAACAGTTGCATTCATGCTCAACATTCATCTACTTATGTGTGTATAGATATTCACATATCCAGATACAAGTTTGTACCTCCTGCCCTCCCCCGCCTCTCTCCCCTTCCCCCTATTTGCAATTTTTTTCTTCATAAATGCGAGTTAGCGGAAATATGTAAATAAATAATTACGTGCTCACACACACACGCCATAAGTTGTCGTAACCTGAATAGGAAAAATAATACTTGAAAAAGTCAAAATATAACATTTCTAAAAAGTTGAAAAAAATGTTAGAAGTATAATTATAAAATGTAGTTTAGTATAAAGAATAGAATTAGTATAAAGAATAAAAATCAAAAATTAAAGATATAAAAATTGAAAATAATAGAAAAAAAATTCTCAAAAACTAAAAATAAAAAAAATAAAAAAGAAAGAAGGAGCCACTCTCTACGTTCACGTCGTTGGCTCTGGATAACGCTAACGGAGAGGGATGATCATATTAGAGAACATTTCTCGAAATTTTTTTGCGCGATATAACTATAAATTCTCATAATTTACAAAAACTGACAGTTCCATTTTATTCAGAGACCTCGAAAACCTCTAGAAACCCATTTTCTTTAAATTTGAAAATTTTTACATTGTCTTTACCCCCCCCCCAGGATCGGACCACCACTTAAGTGGTGGTCTCCGTGATCAGTACTTTGTATACGATATAAAGTATATTTTTTATCGATTTTCTTCGGGGAATCTTGTATCTCAAATGCCGGCTCTCTAAAGGTTAACCAGCATCGATACGCCGAAATGCGTGCGCGCACGCGCACGCGAGGCAGAGAAAGAGAGAGAGAGAGAGAGAGAGAGAGAGAGAGAGAGAGAGAGAGAGAGATGCGATATCTGGGTTAAGTTTATCATCTCGGGGCAATCTGTCACTTTTAACCGCGCACACGCGTTATTACACGCCGTAATCATTCCGACGAGAGCACGACGATAAGCACGCGGTGCTTCCGATAAAGCTTACCTTATCAGGTGATGGTGCGGCCACGTGGGGTGGAGGATGTGGAAGTGGCTGGGTCTGTCGCCGTCGACAGGTACGAGAGATCTTCCGTGGAATCGCCGTAGGCCCGCCGGTGGAATTAGCCCGACGACCAGGTCGGGTAATCCCCGCGCAGTTTCGCGGCCTGCATCAGGACGGTTCCATCGATACGTAGCCTATGGCAGCCACTTTCACGCCCTTCTTCCTTGCCGCCGCTCGGCCTCTGTCCCCGTTGTCGCGCTGGCGATCCTCAAGTAGAGCCGCGCGGCGACCGCGACCTGAGCAGGCGAGAGAGCAGCGAAAAAAGATGAGCTCTCGCAGTCGAGACTTGGATTTATTATCGGGAGAGGAGAAGAGCGGGCTCTCGTGTAAGGGCGACGAAAAAGACAGAGAGAGAGAGAGAGAGAGAGAGAGAGAGAGAGAGAGAGAGAGAGAGAGAGAGAGAGCGAACGATTTATGGTCCTTCGGCGAATCCACCGAAACCCATTCGAACACCGTGTCTCATCTTTCCGCGCATCCTCGAGAACGAGATCTCTCTTTTAGGAGGTCGCGCCGGCAGATTTATCACGTAGGATTTTTGAGGGGCGAGCGCGAGGGTGTCGGTTAATGAGCTACCTACGTGCTTGTGGTTCTCGAGTCAATATGCGCCGCAGCAGGAAATAGCGCTGACGCGCTACGCCGGGGGGTGGATGGGTGGGTGGGTGAGGGGGGAGGGGAAGGGAAGAAGTTGGCGAGAAAAACGCGAACAAGAAGATGTGAGAGAAAGGAAGAGAGTAAGAGAGAATCGTTCTCTCGGAGGTTCGTTTTTCCGCATCGCACCGTTACGCTCGCACCCGTTTGTAGTCGGCGAAAAACTGTAATGGGAGCATCGTCAGGGGAGACTCGGAGAGGTTACTTTGATTTTTTCATTGCGCGTTTCTGACACCGAGCGCGCATCCAAGTGCGTACCCAACGCCACGCGCGCGCGCGCTCGCGTGTTCGACGTTTGCCGCATCGAGTGACACCAGTTTCGAGGGATCCTCGTCGCGACTCTGCCTCCCAGAGAGACCGTTAATTACTGCGATGATCATTATATTTTCTCCGGAGCGAAAACAATCTCTCTCTCTCTCTCTCTCTCTCTCTCTCTCTCTCTCTCTCTTTCCTTTGCCGCGCCTTGTTTTTGCGTCGGGGAACAAAAGATCGGCGGAGCATGCGTTGAAAGAACGGCGGTTCGCGCTGCGGAAAGCGAGCACGAACCGTTCTAGAGAGAGAGAGAGAGAGAGAGAGAGAGAGAGAGAGAGAGAGAGAGAAAAGTCCCGCGGAACAAAAAGAACGCAGGGTGAAAGGAAATGACGTAGGAGTCTCCGGTATTTTTGTTAAAATGAGCTGGCTTCGAGCCCAATTCGTATTGTGCAAAGAAACGCGGACTCGCGCACACCGTTTTATCGAGATGAAAGTGCAAGCACACGCCAGTGCCAGCTCGCGGCCGAGAACGATAGATGTGTTCGCTCCGTCTCGCAATCGTCGACGTTTGATTAATCGCGGCGAGAGGCTGTCTTAATCAACGGACGCGCGTCCTACGCGCCGGCGATTTTTTTCGATCGATTCATCTCGGCGCTTCATCGGCGTATCATTTCGCGTCGCGCAGCTTTAATCGCTTTCCTGCTTTCGCTCGCGAGTCGGCCGGTCGGACTCGATTGCTCTCAGCGCGATGGACAATCAAGACATCGCGGGGGGGTTATAACACACACAACAGGTAGCCGCTTTTCGGCAGTTTAACGATGTCTCACCTGTTGCCACGCACAGGTGCTGTGCGTGTCCTCGTTATTATCTCATCGACGGCGGCGGCGGCGGCGGCGCCGGCAAATTGATAAATTAATCGAGCGAGTGATCAGCGAGAGAGTTAATTAAAGGCTCGCTCGCATCGCTCATCGGTTCAATGCGGTCGCGCGTTTTCCGGTACGGCTTACTCAAAGGACGGCCCTTTGAAGGCTGCGTCGCGCAAGGGCAAGCCGGGCCCGTTGAATTTCGAGTGTCATTGCGCGGCATTGTCCGCGTATTCGTTGTCCGTCGCGGCGGCAACTGATCAGAAATTCGTGCCACGCAAGTGGCCACGTTCACACCGAAAACTTGCGCCGCGCCGCGCCGCGCGAGAACTCGCCGGCGCGGCACTTTGCGCGACCGTGTTACGCAAAACTTGGCGAAAGTGCGGGCGCTCGTTAATCCATAAAGCGGCGCGGTTCTCTCGCAGGCTCCAGCTGCAAACTGTCGCTGGCAGAATGCGCCGGCGTGTCTCACCTTTAAAGTTCGCCCCTGTGCGACCGAACGGGGTAGGGGGTTGCGACGCGGTTCGCTCTCGAGGAGCGATATCCGCGATTGCTTCTTCATCCCCTTCTCGCGATGTCCTTCTCGCCGGATGTATCGGACGCGATCGAGCGCGAGATCGAGCGTGAGATTCGTTTGATGATGCGATTCGACGTAATAGCGCACTTTCGAGATCACCCGTAAGAATCTAAGCATCTCTCTCTCTCTCTCTCTCTCTCTCCGGCTCCAGATCCAGTCTGCAGCCTTTACGAGAGCTCGATTTCAGAACTCGGGCTAAAATATCTCGCGGCATCCCCGAAGAACAGCGGCTCGATCAATAGTCGCTCCACGGGGTCGTCGTATTGACAGTGATTTGTAAGCGTCATCACGCATCGAGCTCACGCTCGAGAGATTTGCAATCGCTTTCTCGACCCGCTCGTCGCTCGCGGCCGCGAGGCAAAGTCTCCTCCGGGTGAATTTAACCGCGTAGGCGGCGCTAAGTGCACAGTTCCTCTCGCGCCTTGTTCTCCGAAGCGATAACCCCGTGTGTGTGTATACACGCGTGTGCACGCGGAGTTGCACGGCGATAGCGAGGAGACGACACCGATTGTCAATGCGCAGCAACGCGATTATCAGCGCACCAGGAGTTGCAATTGATTTTCGACGGCGGGCGGGCGGGAAGGAGGGAGGGAGAAACTCCTCGGCGGGGAATACTTTATTAGCGTCTAATGATCGACAATGGATGCGTTCGCGCTGCGGTGAAGCGAAGTTTAACTCCCGATTTCGTTATCGGGCGCACTTCCTCGGATCGATTCGCCGAATGAATCACGGCGACGTTGATTCCGCCAGGTAGCGGCGGCAGAGGCAGCGATGTGTGATGCACGTCGCGCGCGCGCAACGAACAATATCTAGAATTTCACGGAATTTCGTACCGGAGACGTTTGACCTCGTAAATTCTGCGCCGCGCGCGCGCTTGAATACCTTTTAAATACCTGACCTGACGGAGTGGCCATAAATCTGAAAAATGTTGGGAGCCGAAAAATATTTGGGAGAAAGAAACATTGGCAAAAATATATTTTCTTTTTTTTTTTTTTTTTCTCGGTTATTTCGAAAACCGCGCTCCTTCGAGTGACATTTTTCAAGTATTCGGGAGACACACTTCCGAGGGGAAAGTTGAATCGCGACAGTCGCTGCGAATGAGATTCAACCGGCAGTGTTTATCAATGTTTCAATAATATTATCAATTATGTCATACGGCTGGTTACATATGGCCGAGGGCATATATTTCGAAACGGCAGAATTATTTTATTACGCTCGCACTCGCGGTTGCGTCCGTTTATTTTCCCCTTATTTATTCAGCTTCTCGGTGCCGTGATTATCATCAAAAGGCGCCGTGATTATATTAATAGAGTTTCAATTCGTGAATGTCCCTCGAGAGGGAGAGAGAGAGAGAGAGAGAGAGAGAGAGAGAGAGGGAGAGAGAGCGAGAGAGAGAGAGAGAGAGAGAGAGAGAGAGAGAGAGAGAGAGACACGAGAGAAAGATCGAGAAATCTCTGAATTTTACAGCCCGGCAACACCCCCCGCCCTCCTCACCTTGCCCCGAGTGTATCTGTGTGTGTTAAAAAATTACTTTGCCTCTGTAGACACTCAACAGTCCGCCAAGTATAAACTCACACGCGCAAATTAATTTAATATCGCAGCGAGCAACACTGTGGATTTCAAAACACCGATTCCAGTTCGTTACGCCGGGCGCAAAGTCGCGCGCGAATGTAAAGCACATTCGCGAAATGTTATTTCAAAATAGCGGCGATTCAACGAACTCGCGGCGAAACCCGCGTCATTTCATTCCCATTATATGGAAAATGGCTAAAATGGTAAGCTCTCTCGCGTGGGTCTGATTCGCTCTCTGCGCGCGTACCGCGAATATGATTTTATTTACAATCGCGGATAAAGACGGGAGATACCCCCGACGCATATACCGAGCGCATTATTGTAACATTTACACAGAGCAGCGCGTGCGGATGCAAAAGTGCGGACACGTGATGGAGCGTGAGCCGTAACGCGTATTCCGCGGCGCGGCGCCGAAATCCAACCAACGCAAGAAATACGCCGCTGCTTTGCAGCCTCGCGAACTTTGCGCTTCTTAGGCGTGCGATCGCGTATTTTGTCAAATTACATCCCTCTCTCTCTCTCTCTCTGCCCGGCGCGCGGCGAGAGCTACAGGCTATCCCAGAGCAGAGCTCTTCTATTAGCACTCCTCTCTCAGAGCTAGCTGTGCTCCTCTTCCGATCAACGTTGAAATTGGCTGCTCTCCTTAATGAGAGTTGTGTAAAAAAAAAAAAAAGAAGAAAAAACAAAAAGGAGCGGAAACCCCGGAGACCATTCGTCTCCGTAACTTCGCCGGTTCTTCATATTATACGTGCCCTCCCTGTAATGAAATTTTAGATTAAGACTCCAAAGATGGAAGATTCATCTGAAATTAACCGGCGATTCGGATTCTGTTACCGCGGCTGCATCCCCGATCCCCGAGGGGAGGAGAGCTCGTTACTTCAACCTTCAGCTCTTTGTGATTCTCAAATAATTCAACAAACAGCGGGATTCGACGGGAGACATTTATCGATGGATCCGGGAGATCCTCTCTCGCACGTCGATGACGTCGGCGTCGCGCTGGAAGTGATATCGAGCGACGATAACGAGCGCGAACCAAATATCGACTACAGTGATGATAAGGAACACCGATAGTTATTATTAAACGCGCGCGCGCGCGAGTCGAGGAAGAGAAGAGTGAATTATTACGCGAGACTAAATTACAGCGACATTGCGAGCGGCGGGGCGCGCTTTAAGACGCGCGAGTGCCGCGCGGAAATAAAACTTGCTCGAATTTTAATTAAGGGATGCTGATTTCCGGAGTGCCCCGACGCGCCCGGTGACGTCTTCGTTCGCGCGAGAACTCGTTACGTCGTGGAGGCGTGCGGGATAAAATTTACAGCAGCTT